AATATTAGTAAGCGGAAATTCTAAATTTTATTCGTATTCGACTACGAATATTCGTACGAATATTCGTAATCGAATATTCGTGTCCAGCCCTAATGACCATCAAATAATTATCGACTGTAATTAGTTATCTAATAATATCTAGTTGTGCTTAAACCAGCGCACAGACGGACCGAGCCGACAACGCAACCCCTTCTCCGCCGTCCCGTTCGCCCCAGACTCTGACTTCCGACTTCGTCGACCGGCCCGATATTCTAGCGTGGATCTGCGACAAGTGCGCAAGACTGGGCGCTCGCGCCGCGCTCGTCGGTCTTGGCGGCGTAGGGTACCATATGCCAACGTCTGCTTATTCCGTTAGGAGGCTAACAGCTGGTAGAAAGTCGCAAATAGCTATCCGATACTGCCACGAGATCCGCGATACATCGCCGCAAACGTCCGTATTCTGGTTGCACGCCAGCACCAAGGCCCGGTTCGAAGAAGCGTATAGAGATATTGCAGACAGGCTGGAGTTTCCGGGGCGAGAGAATCCGAAGGCCGATATTTTACGGCTGGTCCGCAACTGGCTGTGCGAGGAGACAAACGGCCAATGGACGATGATCCTGGACAACGTCGATAACCTCGAGACCTTCTTCCCGTCGCGAGACGATAAGAAAGACGAGCCGTCGAGAAGCCCGCCGGCATCGCTGGCGGCTTACCTCCCGCAAAGCCGGAACGGATCGACCCTGATCACTTCTAGGAACAAGGATGCAGCAGCCAGACTATCAGGAGGCTAGAAGAATATCAAGGAAGTACGGGCAATGAACGAGACCCAAGGCCTACAGCTCCTCCGGAACAAGCTGCAGGACGCGTTGACCGACGACGCAATTGATCTGCTGCGTGCTCTCGACTACATCCCTCTTGCAATCACCCAGGCCGCTGCATATATCAACCGGCGAGCTCGAATGACGATCCCTAAGTACCTCGGCGAGTTTCATAGAAACAACAACAAGAGAGAAAATCTCCTAAATTTGGATATAGGCGATATCCGTAGGGACGATAGTGCATCCAGCTCGGTGGTAACGACGTGGCAGATATCGTTTGAGCGAATTCGTGAAGAAATGCCGTCTGCTGCAGACTTGCTGTCGCTTATGAGCTTCTTTAACCCTCAAGGTATTCCGGAGTCGATACTTCGCAGGCATAGTAGGATAGTCAGTAGGACAGTGGCAAAACCAGGGTGCGAAGACGAGGCTAATAATGAATTTGACGAAGATTTTGATACCTTACAAGCTTACTCCCTTGTTGCTGCGACAGCCGAGACTGACATGTGTGAGATGCACGCCCTGGTGCAGTTTTGCACACAAGTCTGGCTATTGTCGTTTAGCGACGCCGAGTGGTGGAAGAAACAATTCGTACAATTAATGGCACGAGAGCTGCCCACCGGCGGGTTTAAGAACTGGGCGAAGTGCCAGCAACTGCTTCCACACGCTAAATCGTTATATGACGCTAAGCCGGTGACTAACGAGTCCTTGAAAGACTGGACTCAGATTCTTATAAATTCTGCGTGATATATGTGGATGATAGGGAGGTATAAGACAGCACACGGCATGGCAGTAAGGGCGCTGAATACTAGAGAAAGGGCATATGGACAAGAAGACCAGTTGACACTAATAAGTGTTGATGTCCTTGCGGGCGTGCTGCGGGATCAGGGGAAGTACTCGGAGGCGGAGAAGCTGAACCGGCGAGCGCTAGAAGGGAGGGAGAAGGAGTTAAGTGTACATCACCCAGTTACGCTGACGAGCGTGAACAACCTGGCGGGCATGCTACAAGATCAGGGGGGGTACTCGGATGCGGAGAAGCGGAACCGGCGAGTGCTGGAAGGGTATGAGAAGGAGCTTGGAATGGATCATCCTGATATACTTACTTCCGTCTACTGCCTTGCCTATCTTTTACATAAGCGCGGGCAATATAAGGAGGCGTCCGAGCTCTACCAGAGAGCATCCAACGGCTACAAGCAGAAGCTCGGTTCTCAGCCCCCGAGAGCCATTGCGTGTCTGAATCGCTTTACAGCTATGCAACAAGAGGCAGAGGAGGAAAGACTGGGACCAAGCAGGACATCAGTTAACGGTAAAGAGGAGCTTAGAGAGATCCCCCCCCCGATGGTGCTAGTACTCTGCATGGCAGTGAGGCTATGCCTGAGCAAGCCAGCAGCAGCCTGAAGAGCAAAAAATACTCATTTTACACGTGCTTGAAAGAGAGGATGCGTAGAAAAGATATATAGAATAGAGATATGACACTGTTCTATTACTGATATATCCTAAGTAACATTCTGTACTGTGAAGAATAAATCACATGATTTGGATGGGCCCAAGGCAGCAATCCTCCAGTTGAAATGGTGGATTGTGTAATTTGGAAAGCGGGATTATATTATCTGCGTCCCTGATTCGTAATAGGAGGACCGTGCCGTGAGAACAAATCAAAGTGTAAAACCGAAAACCGATTCTGCTCGCGACTGTACCCTGGCGGGGGGTAATTAGCTGTTATGCTAACAAAACCAATGAACAAAGGAAGGGCATTTGAGACATCACTAACCTCAATACTCCGTACGACTTCCAGCTTCCCGGATTCAGGCTACCAAGTACCACCGAATATCCCGCTTCTCAAAACTTGCGAAACTTGTCTTTCAAACTTCCAAGATGCCCTGTCACATCATTCTTAAAGCCATCGACCTTGTCCTTCATATCAAACACTGCATCGTCAACACCATCTCGGAACCGTTCGTCCTTTGCAGCTGGCATCGTCCAAAACATTCCTTCGTCATTCACCAAAGTTCCCACAATGCCAGTGCCCATACTTGGCCCTTCGGAAGTCCAAGCCACTCGCTGTAGTCGCGCTTTGCGGTTCTCCCAGCCGTCAGTTTCCCGATCCGTACCATGATAGACACTCAACGTCTCGCCGTTATCATGACGAAGGAACGAGCCATGTCCAGGGCCGAATGGCGGATGCCTGCGGGCCTGGATCAACGGCTGGGGAGACTTATGCCAGCTGCTTTTGTTGAGTGGATCCCCCCCAGTGTATCGGAGGGTGTTCATCTTGTAGTCTCGAGTCCAGCTTCCAGCACAGCTGTACGCGAGCCCTTGCCAGGAACCATCAGGCGAGGCAAACCATTGCGGTCCTTCGTTGATGCCTTTCCCATCCGATTTCTCCCAATGCTCGTGAGGTTCGCAGATGCAGGCTGGCTCGCCGACAGTTTCGGTCGGTGACGTCATACGTTGAATAAAAAGACATTGGACGTTGTCGGACTGCGACGGGTTATGCAGCGGCCAGCCAGAATAGATGAAGTAGTTCTGGTTGTTGATTCTCGCAACCGTGCCATCAATAGCCCATTGATTAGGCATGCCGCGCAATGGACCTAGGAATTCCCACGATCCGCCGGTGCACGGGTCTTCGGATGAACGTGGTCCCCCGATCACGTACATACGATGAGATTTATTTCCTTCTCGAGGATTCTCGCAAGACACGTAGATATACCTACTCTCGCTTAGTCGATGCGGTGAGCGGGTGTCAATATGCTTACCATCTTCCGTCAACAATATGGAGCTCTGGAGCCCAGATGCCGCCAGAGTACTCCTTGTCGGGCGGTGGTCGCCTGCAGCTATATTAGAAACAATAAAAGGTACACTTCGGGATATGTCCGATGCCATACCAGACGACGGTCTTATGGCAAGTCCCTTCCAAGCAACAGAGATTGCTGCCGCACCAGATCTCGACTCGATCTCCAGCGGTATAGACCTTGGAAAGGAAGTTAGACCATGTTCAACCTCTCACTCTGTTCGAATGCGTACCAAATAGAACTTCCCGTGGGCCTGGACCACGTAAGGATCAGGGACAGCAGACGTCGTGATGGTAAGCACCGAGTTATTGTAACTCATGATTGTTTCCCGGTCGTCAAGAAGCTTCAATGAGCGGTTATGGGACTCAAGTTTTACTCCAACACTAATTATAGGTATTTCAATTTCAGGAAGAGAAGACCGTGTTCAGTATTTGACATTGACACAAAGACGGGCTTCAATTGTTTTTGTTGTTCAGCTGAAGCAACTTCCTCTCTCCATGATGACGCTAAACAAACCGGAAGATCCGGGGATCCCGAATACGGGGAAATTTGTGGGGCTGGGACGCAATCTAGAATTCGAGATCTCATGAGTTCGTTGATAGAAAAAGAAAAATAACCATCAGCTCAATTTGGCATCTATCCCCCTAGCTGGCTCTCCTCTGAATCCCCGCCTTAAACAGCGAGCCATCCATACCATATGGATATTGCAAATCTTTCCAAGCTTCAACGCTGAAATTTTCTCAAGACTCCCTTCAATTGCTCAAACGCAAACAATTGCTGAACCTGCAGACGCTGAATATTTTATCTTCCTTTGTGCCTTTGTAAACACTCAGAAGTAGTGATTATTTTAGTTATCATTAGGCTCTTCAGCTTATTTGACGCGCGAATGATCTCTAACCTGTCGCCCAATGAAAGGTCAAAGAAACAAGACATTCGACGGCCCTACAAGAGAGGAGCAGACATCAAACCGACCTGAATGTCAAGTTTCTACCTGTTTCAATGGAACAGGGCTTCATCGATGGCCGAATAGACTGATGGGCCTCGCACGGACCACAGCACTCAAATACCATTACGGAGTATAGTATAGTATCTCATATTTCAATTGACATCCAAAGCAGCTGAGGATCTTGTCTGAACGTGGCCAACAGCAGCAGGACGCCACCATTGAGCCACAGTCAAGCAGAAACAAGCTGGCTCAGGAAAGAGGAGTGCACAAAGTCGCACCAACTAAGTAGAAATGTAAATGAAAAACAAACCTTTAGTTCTGTATTGTTCGTATCATCGTGCTTTCATAGGTACTCATGAGAAAACGACATATAGGCACCATCAGGCTCTAGATTTTCAGTCGGGAATGGTAGAGTCTCTCTATCACAACTTGCCTCAGAAACTATACTCCGAGAGGATGACCAGTCAAGTCCCGGGGATGCAGGACCTGTGCACAATGAACCACTCGTTCGGAGGATGGCTATGCTATGGCTCCCAGCTTCAATCGCAACAGCAAAGGCACCTTTGGTCCGCAGTGGCTGTGCGCACCCTACACACAATTGCCAATGCCACCGTAGTCGGCATCCCCGAAGTACTGGCTAGCTACTACTAAGTCAGCTAATGCTTTAAGTTAGATCAAGGTATGGGAAAGTTGTCTGTGGAACTGAAGGCATAATCTCAGATCTGGCGTTTGAGGTCGGTTATTGTGCTAAAATGAGCACTCAGAGCATTCCAATAGCGATTTTGTTTGATTTCATCCTGTAGAAGGCCCCGCTTCAGCCAGAATTGACCGGAAATGGTTTGTGCTTCCTGACTATTTGCCCGAACGGCATGCTTGCCGCGGAGGAAAAGTGCAGCATCGAACCTGCTAATATCAGTGAGACAGGGCATGTCGGACTGTCACAGACCAGGATCTGCAAGACTTGATATCAGAAGTACGGCTTCGTCAGTACATCAGCTAGCCTGCCACTGTTTCGATTCAGTGCATAAATCTGCATGGACACAGTGTAAGACTCCCCGATATGGGACTTCTCGAGAAATAAGCGGAGAGTTCCCTAAAAAATTATCAGCCAGTGGCAAGAAGAACAGATGATAGAATTGGTCACCCAGATCTGCCATGTATCGTACAGAGGACAGTACAACGAAAGTCCAAGACTCAAGTTATGCCGGACGATGCTACTACCGGGGCCCTATATATCGCACAGCTAGCAGGAACCATTCATGCTGCCCATCCGCTTTCCTGATGGACAGTCGCCCGCTCGGCCGAGCCCGATTGGAATCAAGTCGCTCACTCGGTGGAGTCCGCCGGGACGTACTCGCCTGCACAGGTCGAGACCATATCCAGCGTGTTCCTGCCGAAACGAGGCACCGCCGAAGGGATTATTGAAGACACTCCGGAAAAGCGCGCTCAACAATATTCCAAAGACGATGCGCTCATGGGATGTTTCAGTAGAGGACTCTCGGTGATGCGCCCTGGATAGCTTATACACGGTGCTCTCAATGTGTGCTTCCGACATGTGCAATCGTGGTCGGTCCTCAGAGTGTGTAACATATACTCATTGGACACTCAAAAGAGTTCCTTCAAACTCAAGAGAGGAATCTCATCATTGGACGTGTCACAAAGTTCCCTCGATGCTGTGTGAAATCCAACTAAGAAAGCAACGTCACAACTAGAGCGATTGACCATGAGCCCGCTCGATTTTGATATACCACTGGTTGGATTCAGACGGTAGCCCTCAGGATGAACCGTCACTGGGAAATTCCAAAAGTTCCGCAATGTTGCTGTTGTGTTGTCAGTGAAGTGAGAAGCCAACTCGCAAAATGTTAATGAACCAAAAATCCCACAACCTAAAACATACAGCTTACCAAAACTCTGACCGAAAGCCAAATGAAATGATTAACTGTTGATGAGTGATGTCTCGGCCAGCGGACTTCGAGCGAGATACAATCCCTAATATTGCCCATTTTGAAACATTCCCTCGGTGACAGGTGACCTCAGTGATGGGTGCCACCAGTGACAAGTCTCCTCAATGGTAAGTTCCCTCAGTAACAAGTGCCCGCAATGATATGGCATTTCCCTTAGTGGTCGCTGCTAGGATGGTAGATGCGTGAGATGAAGGTAGTTTTGACAAATGGTACGAAGTCCGAACTGAATAACTTCAGGTGATGTCAGTGTTGTCCATCAAATGACCCAGCAATGGCATGTAGTGTCAGCGATGCCAGTTCTTCGCTTGTCAAGGAGTGGCGGGTTGGTGGGGGAGTAAACTTATCGGGTGTTTGTTTTGATTTCATTCACTGATACCACATGAATGCCATAGCCTAGGGGGCTATACGAGACAACACCGTCTTAATCGACCTTGGGGCAAACATGTCCTACGACTGGTTCTGGATATCATTCAGTCTCCACATCTTGGGGCAAGCAGCGTCTAGTATAAAGACCAAGGAGACAACATTGGGGGGCGGGTAGATTCAGGGCTAGGTCACGGAGATATCAACCACGGAGCATCTAGGTAAGAAGAGGTCGCGATTTGCATGTTGGTTCAGAGCGAGATGTTGGAGAATGTTACATTGCATATTACTTGAAACGCCAACCGCATTGCTTCAACAGAACCGAAGCAAGGCTTTATGAGTAGAGATAAATCATTGCATCAAAAGAACAAAACAGCTGGCCCATCCACATCAGCACCCTTATTTCTTCGGCGGGTACTTCTTGAAAAGATATCTACGACGTTATTAGCATCATCCTTCATCGACTGGGAAATAGTCACGTACTTGCTCAAGAAATAGTCCCCAGTAGCGAAAAGCCCCACGGCCCCGGCACTGATCCCCATAACCTTCCACGAAAGTTCTCCCGAGACGTATTTCCTATACCCGCCGATGCCAAGCAACGTCCCCAACGCGCCCAGCGCCACGAAGTTCCCAAGCACGACCGGATTTCCCGCGTTCTCCCTCACGCACTTGCTTGCGCCGCCGGCCTTGCTCTTCGCCGCCTTTGCCTTCGCATTTGCCTTCTCTTTGGCCTGCTTGGCAGCGGTCTCGGCGCGTAGCTCGTCTGCTTCAGCTTCGCGGTCGAGGCGCTTGGCTTGGGTGTCGGTCTTGACGGACTGGGATTCGAAGTCGGAGGGGACGGAGGAGATGTGAGGGCTGTCGACGTCGATGAGGGATTGAGTGCTGGATTCGGTGTTGGCGACTTCAGGGACGGCGGGGGCACGACTGGATAGTGAGGAGTTAGCCGTGTTTGCGGATGGGTATGTTGGGATAACGCTTGTGCAGTCTCGCCGCTCGGAATGTTCATAGATATAGCCATTTCGCAATTTTCTTGATGGCTAACACTATCTCCTTGGACGAGGGCAATAGGTCTTGTGACACGAGGCGAGGCTGTTTGCCAGGGGTGTATCATGCCACAATGTTTGCACCATTGACATGACGAACTAGGCACAGTGGAAAGGTTCATCGCGCGATAAGGAGAGTTTAGAACTTACGCCTGGCTATAAGTCAGCATAAGTATCTCAAGTAAGAGTCGCGTAACTCACCTCATCTGGACTCTGCTTCGGCCCACTGGCAGCAGCGTCTGCGTACGACATTCTGGTGATCGTGTTGGTTGAGGACTGTTGGTGGGACAGCCTTGCTATAGGCGCTTGCTTTACCCCGTTTCTGAATGAAAGCGAATGAAATGACAAATTGAATGGTATGTGAAGATACTTGTATACAGTATCAACTACCTTATCAAGTGGATGACGATGAAAGAGAGGAGAGATCAGAAGACGAGCGAAGACAAGCTTTTGCAGGGATCCACCAACGACGTCATCACCAGAGCCTCAAAAGTCAAAAACACGTGCCTTCAGCAGACGATGGACGTCCTGTCAGGAGTAACACACTGGAATAACATGATGTGCAGGTCGCGGTATGTGTCGCATATATTAAAATATTAGACATTGATGTACTAGACATTTATGGTATCACCATCAACTTCATCCCTTTCCGTTGGATCGTATCACTAACCCCCAACAGGCATCAATTCTCCGCCAAATCGTCGCTAGTCCGCGCGCCCGTCACCCTGAAGCTGGTCTCGATCTCTGTTATGTGACCGATCGCATCATCGCAACGTCAGGTCCTTCCGGGACATATCCAAAGCGATATTACCGCAATCCACTCGACGAACTTGTCAAATTCCTCGACTCCAAACACAAAGACAAGTGGGCAATATGGGAATTCCGCGCCGAAGGGACAGGCTACCCCGATGACGAGGTGTACGGTCGCGTATGGCACTTCCCATGGCCCGATCACCATCCGCCACCGTTCGCGCTGATTCCGAGGATTGTCGCGAGCATGCGCAATTGGTTACACGAGGATGAAGAGCGAGTGATCGTCGTTCATTGCAAGGCTGGCAAGGGTCGAAGCGGCACGTCGAGTTGCGCATATTTAATCGCAGAAGAAGGATGGACTCTGGACGATGCTCTGCAGCGATTCACCGCGCGGAGAATGCGGCCGGGATTCGGCGCAGGCGTTTCGATTCCGTCGCAGCTGAGGTGTCTTTCGTACGTCGATCGATGGACGAATCACGGGAAGATCTACATTGAAAGACAAATAGAAGTTTTGGAGGTCCATGTTTGGGGTTTAAGAGATGGAGTCAAGGTATCTGTACGAGGGTTCGTTGATGAAGGGAAGGTGGTCAAGACGTTTCACACTTTCACCCGGGAAGAACGGGAAATTGTCTCCGGTGAAATCCAGAAAACCAGTTTCGCGGACCTTGCATACGAATTCATCAGCGGCAACAAGAAAAACGGGAAAGATACCCCCGAGACTGCTTCTATAAGCGACGGCAGAGCGCCCACAGATAACACGACCACTTCCAACACCTCCCTTCCACAAATCAAGTCCCCCGACCCTTCACTAAAAACCCAACCATCCAACGCGCCCACAACCGATACGACCAAAGACGGCGCCGCAGCAATATTCCGGCCCTCTGAACCTCTCATCCTCCCTACTTCCGACGTCAACCTCGCCGTCACCCGCCACCCCGCCTCCACCAGCACCCTCACCCTCGTCACCTCCGTCGCCCACGTCTGGTTCAACTGCTTCTTCGAAGGCTCCGGCCCCGAACGCTGCACAAACCCCTTCTCCACCCCCCTCTCCGATACCGAAACCAAGCAGCTCCCCGACTCTCCACTCCAGAGCCCGACGGAACCCTCGACCCCGAGCACACAGTCAAAACCAGCTACCCACAAAGCAGCCAAACCCGCCGGCCCGCTCACCGACGGCGTCTTCGAAATCGACTGGGACGATATGGACGGCATCAAGGGCTCCAGCCGCAAGGGCTCCCGCGCCCTTGACCGCGTCGCCATCGTCTGGCGCGCCGTCCCATATCCCGGCACCGTCGTCACCGAACCCGGAACCGACGAGCCCGTGCGCGGGAGCGTCGCCGCCGATTGGCGGGGGGGCGCGCATCCGGAAGAGTCGCCGGACCGGCCACCGCGGGATGAGGAGGTGGCGGAGGAGGTTCTAGGGGTGCCCAGTGGGGCGGCGGAGAAGAAGGTGATGGAGAAGGGGGCGGAGGAGAAAGGGGAGGATGAACAGCAGGGGTTGGGGGTGAGAAAGGTGGCAGGGAAGGAGACGGGGGAGGCGGCGAAGGGGGTCAAGGAGGTGGTGAATAAGGTGGTGGGGAAGGTGGGGGGAAAGGAGGAGCCGTTGGATATGAGTTCGGATGATGAGTTGGAGATGGTGGCGGCGAGGGGGCCGGAGGGGGAGGACTTGGAGGTGGGGGAGTCAAATGAGGCGGAGGCAAGGGGAGGTAAAGGGAGGGAGGATAAGAGTTAAGGATCTGGTGGGTTAACGGTAAGTTTATTGATACACCTGGCCTAGGATGTTATTGCACCCCTGATTCCTCCCCATCTATTATGTTCCTCTATATTCGTTATAGAGCACCGTGAAATCACAGCATCGCTCTCCTATCCTTGGCCTAACCAGTGACACAACCCGACATTCTCTCAATATGAACAAGGCGGACTGCTGCGGTTGAATCATGCTATGAGCGTCAATTCAACGACTTGATTTCACCCTAACGCAATCCGGCACACGGCCACAACACCATAACACCACGACACCGGCCTCAGTGAATACCACCCTTCTTGCGCCGCCAGTATATGTTCTTCTATCATTCTCTCATTTTGGCTCCCGTCCTTTCTGTTTGCTCCCTCCATCCCTCAAAATCGCAAACGCGGAGCGCTCCAGCGCAGTGAATCCGTGGATTTTTCACCAAAACATTGCAGAGGAGCCAAGTTTGTATTTTCGAAATCAGCGTACGTCGACACTTCTACCTCATGACGGCATTCTCTCACTGACTGCGACGAAAGCAACCGGCCTTACCATCACAACCCGACCTCGTGGCGAAACGATTAGCCATCCCCTACCACCACTGCCACACTCACTCTGCCAGTCCCCTAACTCCCCACCATGTCCAGCCAACGCCAAGAAATGAAAATCAGCGCCGCCGCCGTCATAGCCATCTGCATCACCACCGCCATCATGTTCTGCGTCCTCCTCGCCGGCATCGACAAGCTCTTCCGCCCCCACGACGACGACGACGAGTCCCCCCTCCGCCGCCCCGAGAAGGTCCAGCTCGACTACATGGCGCAGATCAAAGAAAAAAACAACCAAGCCGCGTACCGCAACTTCATGTGCGACCTCGCCGAGGACGCGGATCCGAGTCTGCTGAACGCGAGGTATTTTCAGGAGTGGGGCGAGCGGAATCGTATGTTTCGGCCGTTCAGGGCGGAACGGGACTGGCAGCCGCCGCGGAGTTGGGATGTGAGGGGGAGTACGGTGGCGCCGATGAGCTATTGGTCGGTTCGGGTGGTGAGGCTGCAGTTTGGGAAGGGGAAGGGGCGGGCGTCGAGGGCGACGTGGGGGACGTGGACGACGGGGTCGGCGCATATGAGTGGGACGCCGAGGACGTCGGGAGTGCCTGAGATGCCGGAGGAGGTTCCTAGCGATGCGACGCCTTCGAGGCCGGGGACGCCGACGCCAGGGATTCCTGGAGCGAAGACTCCTGTTAAGTCAGAAGTATCCAGTTCTGGAACTCCGGCGGCCAGCGGGATACCAATTCTTGACAATAACTCCATTGGAGAGAGCAGCAGCACCTCTAGGTCAACCGACGTAGCCAGCATCAGCACGGGATCTTCAGAGGGCGGGACGTTTCTGCTAAAGCGCGCACTGATCCCCCGCTCGGTGCAACTGGCCTATGGAATGGTCCCTGGGCCGGTGGTGATCCGTCCGCGGGACTCAATGCTAGGGCTTATTGAGAGCGGGCGACGTAGTGGACTAGGGACTCATGCGACGATTGATGATGAGTCGGAAGTGGAGGCGTATTTCGATCATGGGAAGGTTACGGCGGATGATATCGAGATTAAGCAGCGGGCGAGGGAGTTGGAGTTGTTTGGGACGACGCTATGATGCTGGAGAAAATTTGATTTCGTTGGATCGGGCCAGGGATGCCTCCTGTTTGTTTGGGCTTATGTACTCTTTCGGATAATCGGGTGGAATGCTTCTGGTTATTCATTCAATATGCGCGGATGGAAGAAACCACTCCGGTGCTTGGGAGATCACGGTTGGGCGAGAAGTTTTGGCTTGGTCGTATCAAAAACGAAGCACACCTTCAGTGTATCCGATCCTCTAGCTCTTTACGCTTTAGACTAGTTGAACGTGATTCTTTTGGGTCACCTGGTCAAGGCTCATTTTCCTGAGTGGTTGGCCCAAATGCTCCCAAGGTGGTCTAGAATGCACTACATTCGGCACTACATTCGGCATAATGCGTATGCAAAAAACCCAGCAGAATGTAGAGCTACGGGTCTTGAAGCCGCCACCCGTACCCTTCCTTTGCCATGCACCCAAATCATCAACTAATCGAATCGAAACTAACCATCAAACTTCTCAGAAAAAGAACTTGTGTGACACGGACTGGATGCGCAAGGTCTGCGATTACCAAGTTCCATTTATCTAAACTGAAGAGAGAGAAGGAAGGAATCTCCCAGCGCCTCTGTGCGCGAGATATAAACTCTTCTCTCTGCTATCCTAACACAACTCCTTAACACAGCCCGTCCTAACACATAGCTCCCATATGACTATCTCCTTGATAATCCTCCATGCCATCCACTAGCCACATCCCTGTGGCGTCAGCCATACTCAAGGGCCCAGGCCACAGGCCCGGGACCATAACATTGTATCCGTGTTTCCCGTCAAACGTCATCTAAATTTTACGGGTCACTACAGCAGGTCTATTATCTGCACCAGATCAATTTTCTATTTCCATCGGACTATAATATGGCATTAGCTGCGGGCAGGAAGAAACACATCAAAGTATATGGGGTCCATCCGCCTCCTATCTATGCTATACAAGTCAACGAGTCTGCATACCAAGTTTTCGTTGAAGTCTATGGAATATATTGCTACGATATAGAGAACGTAGCTCTATCTAGAATTTCATAATTGGAGACATCTTGCCTTTCATGTTCGGGTGGTTTGGGTTATTATCTTATTCTTTGTCTAATCGTTGTCAGTCGTTTCAGTGGGTAATGTCTCACCTCGAAACCGTTTGTTTGTTCTCGAAGTGGTTTCCCCCCTAAGTGTTGCACATTGAAACAGGACTAAGAGTTTGTATCTCTGGTGCTCATAATCTTCAACCCCTGAAATCCGACCAAAAATACCAAGAGTGTGTTAGAGACTGGGCAAGCAGCTGACTTAGCTGAACCCGCCGTCCGAGACATGACACCCGAATTGATACCTAGGCTGCCACTTATGTTTCTGATCCAATATATTCTGTATTACTGCACCATTGTATCCAGTGTTGGAAACTGAAATGTCGTACACCCTTTGAATCAACTGCATTCTGTCTTTTTACAAACCCCTCCACCGTCACACCAAGCGCTCGTTCGGTTTCTTTTATTTATGCTTCTCTTCTTGCAGCTAATGAGAGCCTGGACACCTCATTAAACCTCAAGATTTCTTCAATATATTATCAGGCGTTTACATCGAGGACCAGGCTGCCTTCCATATATCCTCCTCCGGATTCGTGACCTCGGTATCACCAAACTTGACCATAAGACCCGCAATGGAATTGGTTTGTAAAATGTAACATTAAACTTCCTAAAGATTACTTGCTTTATGGTATAGGCATATTCAGAGTGGGCCCTCCTGTCCCTGTACCAAGTCAAGCAACGTCGAGAATCTAGCTACGTGATGATCGAAGGCACCCCCCAAATCGGCTATACTTATTCGTTCAATGCCATTGAGCAACCTTTTGAGACTTACACGTATTTTCGTGGGATATATAAGCTGGGCGAATACCCTCTCCTGGCCAGTTCACCGAAGCCTTGGGTATGATGAGTTTTGCTTCTCGGGGTGGCGGACTTTCACCGGATTTGATGTTTCCGAGGAGGTGCTACACTTATTTGTCGAGGCGCACAAGATCATAGAACGTATCGAAAAGAGTGTGGTGTCCGATCTTCAAAGTTTGGGCTACCTAAGCAAATTGGCCGCGTTCAGTATCCATATGGTACAGGGTACGGACCGAAGGAAAGACGAACTTCAATTTTCGTCAGGTATGACATAACAGCCAAAGACAACGGATTCGACTGTACGTCACTCATACTGTATACTCAGAACTCAAGGAATTAACAGTTTAATTTAGGGCACGATGATGAGGTCGAAATTAGGGTGATCATTAGTGATGCCCCTGGACTTGAGCTTCGGGATAGTAATACGGGGGAAACATGGCGTCCATGTCCTAGACCGGGGAAGTTACAGGCTGTTGGCACCATCGGTGATCGGTTTATAAGGGACAACCCAAATAGAAGCATTTGGTTATAACTAGGCCTTGTAGGAATCAAGTTAGTTTCACTCCCAGCCAATAAAACTCTGGCCAGGGAGGGGGAAGGTATCGGTATGCCCTCCTTATCTCTTGATTTTAGTACAGACATCACATAGCATTCACACTCAAATCTGGTTCATTGATTTGCTTGACATCTAAATTAGCAGGAATCCCCTTAGTTACACAGCATTAGAAAGCACCATGTGGAATATTTGACCGCCCTCTTTCAAACCAGTGACATTGAGCCTCGTCTCTCTTCTACCTGAAGATGCCGTATGCTCTAACTATTGTATAACACTAATAGCAAATTTATTAAGGACTAAGGTAGTCCTTCTCAAGTGAGAGGCTCGCTATGCAATTGTTGTATTCTAGACGCGGATCCACCGCCTTCGGCCTGCTCGTGATACCCTGAACCTATTGAATCGAGAACTCTCAGCGGGCGAATATCCAACGGCTCTGGTAGGCCACGATTGACGTTAACAATTTTCAGAGTCCTACTCTTTTTTCCAAGTCTCTTACAAGTCCCAACATGTTCTAGTCACTGTTCAGGCATCGATATCGGCTTACAGTTAGGCACAACCCTGAATCGCTGCTACCGTACACCTAAAACGGACTGGTTTTACTCTACCATGAATATAAAATCCGCATGTTACTTACACGTACCTCATTATTTCCAGACAAGTAGGTATCAATGGCAGACCTTAATTTTTGGAGTCTTGGTGGCTGCTTTTATGAGGTGGCAAGTCGGCTTCACCCCCCGCCAGCTCCAGTTTCCGACTTTGAACCTTTCGAAACAGAACCGAAGCCACTTTTCAAGCCGTAAAAGGTTGTTAATTGCAAGTATCGCCTGCGATCGACCTATGCTGCAGTTGTTCAGTGATTGTTTTGATATTTCCTATACCACCTCATAATTGGAGACCCAGCGGCGATATCGGAGATACAATTGAAGATCAGTATCTATATTTACCCCTCTCACTCGCTGCGAATGATCGCAACCTCGACTCTCCATCACCTTTCCGTGCGTCGTGTTAGCTATGGAATTACAAACGTCAAGCAGCAATGGCACATTATTCATCAATGGAGTGTTCTTCACCTCCGGTCCTCGGGGAGAAGACCCAGTATTCCACGACTATATGTTCATCAAAGATGGATTGATTGAAAGCATCGGCGCCAAATCCGACCAGAGCATTGACGACATCAGAAAGAAGAATCCCTCAATACGCGATCTGAAAGGGAAAATCGTCTTGCCCGGCTTCGTCGATGGACACATACATCTCCTCATCCTCGGACAATCCCTCCAAAAGGTCGACTTAACTGGATGCACGAACCTTGAAGAAATCCGTACGCGGATTAAGGACTATGCGCAGGCTCATCCGGATAAGGATAGGATCCTCTGTCGAGGATGGATGCACTCCATGACAAATTCCGAAGCTAAAGCCACCATGCTTGATGATCTCGATCCGCGGCCTGTGTATATCGACTCCAAGGATCTGCATTTCGTATGGTGCAACACCGCTGCGCTAAAAGAGCTTGGAGCGGACGAGTTGACGGCTCCCGCTGGCGGGACAATTGACCGTGACGATACTGGCAAAGCGACGGGACTATTGGGGGAAGCAGCGACCTTTGGGATCGTTTGGCCGCATTTGGCCAACCTCGCGACTATGGATGAGAAGCTGGGTGCTCTACGGGGTGCGATGAAGACTTACAACGAGGCGGGATATACCGGCATGGTGGATATGGCGATGGACGAGAATGGGTGGGAAGCGCTCCTTGCTTTAAGAGAGGCAGACGGGCCTCTGTCAGTCAGTATCTCGGCGTACTGGCTGATCAGGCCAGACAAAGACCCGCAAGACCAGGAAAGTCATGCCCCTCGAGTGGCTCAGGTCGAACGGGCGATTGCTCTAAACAAGAAGTACAATAGCACAACGTCTCCGGATCTTCGCATTGTCGGTATCAAGGTCATCTGTGACGGTATAGTCGATGCTTGCACAGCAGGACTACTAGAACCGTATTCCAGCAATGGACTCTCTACCGATCCAGTCTGGACTCCATCGATGCTCAGTCCGGTTATTGAGAAGGCCAATTCAGCTGGATTGCAGTGTGCCCTCCACGCGATCGGCGATGCTACGGTACGAATGGCAATTGACGCGATTGGAACTCACATCGAGCCAGAGAAGAGACCGAGAATTGAGCACTTGGAGTTAACATCTCCGGGAGATGCCGAACTCCTCCATAAGTACGGCATCACAGCATCCATTCAACCTGTCCACTCTGATCCATCCATTTGTCAAGCCTGGCCGAAACTACTTGGGCCGCATCGACTGGAGCGCGCGTTCGCATATCGAGAGATGCAAGATAAGGGTGCGACACTTGCTCTGGGGTCGGATTCCCCAACTGCCCCCCACGCTCCGTTGCATAACCTCTACGTTGCAACGACACGGAAATCAGCAAAGAATCCCGAGGGAAATTACCCGCCTATCAACCGCCAGGAAGCACTCGAGCTCAGTCAAGCCATCTCAGGGGCCACTAGAGGTGCTGCATATTCGTGCTTCGATGACTTGAGGACAGGGAGTCTCGAAGCTGGATTACGGGCGGACTTTGTCATTGTGGATATGGAACACAATCCAGAGAAGTTGTTGGCGGCGAAGGTTCAACAGACATGGTACGGTGGACGAAAGGTGTTCGATGACGGGACGTAAGAAACTGGAGCTTCGTCTAAACCAAACCCCCTTCAGATCCCCTACCTACCGCAGATTCCATTAGCTATCCACTAATCCAAGGGCCGCTTGATATTTTGGACCAATATCTTATCGTTTTAATCATTATCGCTAAGACACCAGGAATAATGCAGCATGAGGTGCCTTCTCTCGTCCAAAGATATGATTTTGCATCGAAGTTGGAACCTTTTACATATGTCAAGCCGGTCTAGAGTGTCGTGTCCTTTTCATCATCTCCTTACATGAAAGTCAGAAACTCGCTTTACTTCACTTGTATCTTCCGTCCTTTATGTATTCCAGTTGCTGAAGCACACAATCATGAATCGCCTCAACACGTAATCCATACTGAAGGCCTGGTCATATCGCATCTAATTGGTGAAGAGTAATCTCAATTGTATCCTGTCCCTCTCCACAGCTTCCATGAAGTCGCTCCTCAAAGTTTTATTTTACCCTCAACACATGTTGATATCTCATCAGCATTAAGCAAGAATAGGGTGGGAAGATGGAGGAATCTTGTAGGCAGTGGGTTCTGCTTGGCGTTGTATATGCTCTCTCCTCCGTATTAAGGATCTAACAGTCAACCAGTAGCAGAATGGGCTTTCAGGTGGTATCAAACCAATCATAGAACAAACATAGTTCATAATGGTTTCCAAGTGCGATCATCATGCGTACAGAACGTAAAAATCAAAACCATGGAATCCCAAATGCACTGCGGCGGTCTTGGTAGCCAGAAGATGAGGATAGGTCGAAAGCAAAACCGGTAGCGGGCAAATTCGGAAGGAGAGGAGACAGACATAATCCGGTGTAGTAGACAGCAAATCATGATACACTGGGCAGGTATGGTAGCCGAAGGGAAGGACTGGAATTCACTCGACACAGGACAAGCGAGAATAGAGGCAGCGAGATCAATATCAGATAGGACTGAATAGGTGATAAATAAGGGGGCGAATGAAATGCAATATATAAGTTAATCAAGCAGCTTGAATTATCAGCGGGAAATGGTAGAATGGCGTAGTGACAACACTTCAGCAGCAGCACATCTCTAAGGTGTGTCACCATACCGACAAGTACTAGCTGGAAAAATTGGAGTTCGCTCGAGGACGCTTCCACTACACCCAGAAACCTGGGTGGGGAGGTTGTTCAATGCCTGGGAGACTCCGTCACCTAGGGCGCACGAAGCTTTATAGTTTTGCTCTTTGGTTGGACGCTATGTTTTGGACAGGGGGTACTAAGGGGGTATTTGAGTGCAGGAGTGAGAGATGGGTTCGAGTCTGGCTAGTACCTTTTTTAACTTGTGTCCGTCAATGTTTTGAATTTCTTTAACAAAATATCGTACATGCCCTTCCAGGGCTAGTAGTTAGTAGTTCCCGCTGCAAATATGACTTCAAGCGGTACATTTAATCGAGAATATCTGCGTCCCATAGTGACGTTTGCCATGTGCGCCACCAAAGCAACAGATCGATATCATCCAAACGCCATCAATATCCCCCTCTCCTTCCCCTCCCACGAAACCCACCCCCAGGCGGTACCTCTCCCCTCCTCCAATCCCCACTCAAGAAACTCCCACCCCTCCCCTCGTTCCGAAACCCCCTCCCATGCCTAATCGGCCCACCACCAAACCCATTCTCCCGCCCCGGGCCCCCCGTCATCGGTCCCGCAAACCTCGGCGCCGATCCTGCTGCCACATCCCCATTCGGCAACGGCGGAAAGACCGCACAGTCGACATAATCCCCAATCACGAACCGCGCATCCTGCAACGTCTTCTCCGCATCGCCGTCGAGCTTCTCCAGCGCCTTCCGCGTCTCGTCTTCGGTGGTCGCGCCTTCAATTCCTTCGACCCCGGGGCCGCCCGCGCCGATGACCACGCTTCCGAGGTCTTTCGCGATGTAGCGTGGGGGGCCGGGGCCAGAGGAGCGGGTGTCGGGGAAGATGAGGCGGAAGGTGAGGCGGGTGCCGATGGCGGGGGAGGGGAGGAGGGAGGGGAGGGCAGCGGTGAGGAGGTGGGTTAGTTCGCGGAGGGAGCAGGTGGGCCAGGTGTAGATTTGGAGGTGGGGGGGGGGAGGTTGGGGGCTGTTTGGGGTGAATTCATCGAGTCTAGAGGAGTTAGTTGCGGGCTGGTCGGAGGGATATGGTGTAGAGTGTGAGGGGGGAGGTACCTGTGATATCCACCAGTTCTGTAGAATAGTTTAAGGAGGAAAGGTGTCGTTTTCTGGCGATCGATCTTGGCTGGTGGTGCTGCCATTGCGTATGTATCGCGCGTGCGGAGCACAGTACAGGTGCTCAGTTGAAGGAGGAGGAGCGCATTGGCTTTTAGGCCAGCATCAACTATGCAAACCTGAATGACCTTTGGTACAGTTAAGGACTGAAGAACTGATATACACTGATGCGACGAAGGTTTAATGGGTGCAACGCAGTGACATCAATGAAAGACGAGAGGTGAGGTTGTTCGGTTGATCTTCGGCAGAACTCTGCAGTGGAAAGATTTCGCGGGGGAGGAATCCACCCCCTTCAAACTCACACCATATCTCTCACTCCAACAACGTCAACAACATCAACAATGTCAACAACCATGTGGGTTTCACTTTGAACTCATAACATTTCACACACTACAACCTCCCACCAACAACTTGAGCAACCCATTCTATATCCAGCCCAGCGGCTGCATCCACGACCCCCCATCCATCGATCCCCATACCCCAACCATGGACTTCGCCTCCCTCCTCAAATCCCAAATCTCCGCCTCCAAATCCTCCTCCCAATCCCCCGCCACCGGCCCTAACCAAAAGAAATATCTCAAGCGCTCTGAGCTCGAAGCGCAACGCGAAGCCGCCTACCTCGCCGAGCAAGAAGCGCTCGCTGCGGCCCGCGAAACGAAGCGCGTGGAGAAGCGGAAATACGAGGAGGATGAAGCGGAGAAGGCGAGGATGAGGGAGGAGAAGCGGAGGAGGTTGGCAGAGGAGAGTCGTGTGGTGAGGGAAGAGGAGGAGAGAGAAAAGGAGAGAAAGAGGAGGAGAAGATTGGGGTTGCCGGAGGTAGTGGTGGAGGAGAAGAAGGAGGAGGGAGAGAAAGAGGGGGAGATGGATGAGGAGGAGCTGGTGAAAGGGTTGAGGGAGATGGGGGAGCCGGTGCGGTTGTTTGGGGAGGGGGATCGGGCGCGGCGACTGCGGTATAAGCGACTGACCGGGCAAAAAGTGGTGACGGTATCAACTGGCCCGATTCCAACGACATTGAAGCTGGTGCCAGAAGCGGAGATGAAAATCGGGGAAACGATGCCGACGGACCACGACGGGCGGCAGGTGGTATACAGCCAGCTGGCGAGCTACTTCACGATGGTGCTGAGCGAATGGGAGGCGGCGCTGGGGGCGCGCGAGGCGGAGGTTCAGAAGAGCTTTCAGGGGAAGGCGGCGTATTCGGCTATGGTGCGGGCGCGGGAGGACATGAAGCCATTGTTTAAGCGGATGGAGAAGAAGGAGTTGGATGATGGGATCTTGGAGCCGATTATGGAGATCGTGCGGTATATGCAGGCGCGGCGATATGTGGATGCGAATGACGCGTATCTGCGGCTGAGCATCGGCAAGGCGTAAGTGACAGACCTTTCTATTTCCTTCCTACCACCCCCCGTTCGTTGGACTTCGTAAACTAACTATACATTGCAGCGCCTGGCCCATCGGCGTCACCATGGTCGGCATCCACGAGCGTTCGGCCCGCGAGAAACTCCACGAGAGCGATAAAACGGCGCACATCATGAGCGACGAGATCACGAGAAAATTCCTGCAGAGCATCAAACGCTGCTTGACGTTTGCGCAGACGCGGTGGCCGCCAGACGATCAGCTACAGTTGATGGGCTGAGGATCGCGTATCGGTATCGGCGATCGGCAAAGGTCCTGCGTCCTGCGTCGGTTCATCTACGTCAGATTGTACTCGTGCTGGGTGGAGGTAGATAGCGGCCAAGGTAGTGACGAAATCGAAATCGTACTTCGGTCTCCATCCGTCCGAGATTCGCAAGCAATCACCCCATCTCCCATCTCCTACCTCCATCTCAAACACCGCCTCATATCCCTCCCTCCCTCCCTCTCCTCCACACCATTGCCCTCACCTCCCCACAACCATCGCACCCCACCAACGCCTACAAATCCACCGGTCCTTCTCCACCAACAGCTCGCTCCTCAACCTCACGGCGCACTCTTTCAGCCACCCGTTCCGCATGAGGGGGGTGGGTTGCGGGAGGTGGCGGGAGGTGGTGGCGGGAGTGGAGGTTCTTCGTCGACTTCGGGGGGCTTTGGAGGTGTGGTGGAATTTGAGGGGGGCTCTGGGGTGGTGATGTGGATTGCGCCTGGGAGAAACCGGGGCAAACCGGGCCGCGTGGTATTAGTTTTCGAGTGGATGGACCGCAGCGTCCAACGCCCACCCTACACCTTACTGTATCAACCTCCAACGGAAGTTGGTTGAGACGATGGTTATTACGTCATGGGGGGGTACAAAAGTCCATAGACGGATAGGTCCCCGACACGTGGCATAAGGCATTATTAGTACGCTACACATTATACTAAGCCGTAGCTCCGAATCCAGGAGATGTTTCATACAAACCGCTTCAATTAGCCAGGTAATTAAAGGATTACTACCGTAGAGCAAGATTAAGCCCTCGTGGAGTCGTAATAGAACATTCGACCATTCCTCAGACCTTCCCTGTTACCTACCTCTACCCTTCCCCGAACGAGATGCCCTTCGCAAACGTGTCGGACTTCCCCCAAATCCCTGGCCTTAGCCCGGCCAACTGCCCGATCTAAGAGTGACTTACGAAGCGGTTGACATATATGCGGAGCGTGAATATACTGGTTGAAGACCGCCGGATCGGTCGCTGCTGGGAATGGGCCATCGGATCTCGATAGAATCGAACGAACAGAACGATGACAAGGGAACGATCGACCAATCTTGGAGCATGACCTCTCTGGAACGCAGCTCCTTCATGATCTGAGACATCACATCGATACGCCATGCCTTCAGGTTCTTCGTGGTGTCTTCGCTTTCGACATAATGCGCTCGACGCCGTTGTCGATGAACCGCGTCGCACGTTGACCAGCTTCCGGATCTAGTCCCGATCGACTCCAGCCCCCTCGCCTAAGTAGGTACAGTACCTAGCTACACCTATCACTCTCATCAGCACCACATCCCCAGCAAGCGAACGATCGCGGGATTGTTGGGTGATGGATGGTAGTATGTTGTATGTTGACTTTGGTTGGTGGGATAGGAATAGGAGGAGAGGATATCAAGATGGTAGGAAATTAGGAATTATCGACGTGTGCATATGGGCTGGATGGATTGAGATTTGCATCACGGTGTGATTTTCGTGAAGATAAATCACCCAAGGAACATCTGTATCACCGTAATTGGACCCTGCGTCGTCCTTAAGGGTTTGATATCACTAGAGAGTTGCTGGTCATGATATGATGCTGGACTGATGTCATCTGTGACGTTGTTGGGATGGGACTCGCGGAGATGTTTAGGGATTTGGTGATAGCCGTTGATTTGATCTGGGGGATGGCACCAAGGTAATATTTATCCTCCTCTTTTCGGAGCATATGTCTCGCTAGTTTGGATGTGTTCGGTCATCAGTGATTTGGAGATGATTTGGCTGCTCTTAATGCTGGGGAGACGATGTTTGTAGACGGAATGGATTGGACCCTGCGACCACGAATCTTCCTCCCATCGGATTCCCGTCCCCCAAATCAAGCATCCGTATCGCATTCAGGGATTCAGATCCTCGGAAGATTGAAGAGACAACATCTGATGAATATTGACTCGGTATTCTAATCTGTATACGAGCCATCACGCCCAAACACCAGCAATACCCTGACCCGCAGTGCATCTCCGCCTCTTTTAGGCTTGAACCATCATCCATCAGCGCTTGTCCCCGTCCCTACCGTCCGCAGATTTCAAACAAGCATCACGAAACGGCGGAGACGCGCAAACTCAAGGGTCCACTTCAACGGCGCCAAGCACATGGTGAATCCTAGGCTTCGATGTGCGATACGGAATATGCGACGGACTTGGGTCCGGTAGTTGGCGATGTGCCCATGTCCCGTCCATTCCTCACAGCTTCATTATTCAGCCAAGGGGGGACCATTCAAACAGATGGTTTTCAGATGTTAGTGTCATGGTGCCCGGTTCTTCCACATGAAAATACGACAAATGGATTGTATCATTGGATGGGACAGAGGCAGGGGAGGAAGGCATTTCGCATGTGGTTGTAGGATTCTACCAATGGTAATGGGAAGAGGAGAACGCTTAAGTATCCATGGTCAGCCTGGACTGTACATAGTATGTAGATGAAATCTTCAATTTATCAATTGTGCATGGATTAATTACCTTAGGTAGCTAGATTAGTAGATTCCGAATTTACTTGTTGATAGGAATAGGCAGAGGCATACGGGAACAGGTGAGAGACACAGTTCCAAGGTTTCCGTATAGATCTCTGGAATTCGATTATTTTATGATTGTATCATTCTATCACCGCATTTGCCTCCCAGTGCCTATCACGACCCAAACCAACGTCATTAATTCCTGTCTCCCCACTGGCGTTGACAATCTAGCACCAGGTTGAAGAAAAAGCGGCCAAACGCAACACGAGGAAGCGGGAAACTTTCCGTTTTCTCCAACGCCAAACAATCCTCACCCTCTGCAACTCCACACTCTACAACACTACCTCATTTTTCACTCCGTCTCCGTTCCTCAACACTTAAATCCCTTCCGAATCCTGCAAATCGCTCTCTTTCACATGTCCTTCCTTCTTGTATGAATTGAGATTATCGACTTGGCAACAATTGGCTTTGCAGCCCTGCCACAGTCCCTAGACCCGCACACGACACACACTTATCAACCCTCCACCCCAGCATTGAGGAATATCAACCGCTCTACCACTTCCCATCTCTCCATTCCTTCCCCTCTCCCTCCTCCTTACATCTTCCACCGGTATATCCCCCCACCGCAACCATGTCCGGTCCCTCCATCTCCTTCCGCCTCCCCCCCCTCAGCCTCTTCACCTTCCCTCCACCCCCCGAACCACCCGCGCTCCCTGCCCCGTCCGCCAGCGGCACCCTCGCCGCCCCCTTCACCATTCCCCCGGCCCTCTTCAACTCCGTTCTCGACGTCAGATGGCCCATCACCATCGCTACCCTCTACGCCATCACTGCCGTGTCTCTCAACGGTGTCAACCGCCGCCGCGGCTTCAAGCCCTGGGCCATCAGCAAGACCCGTGCCTTCCACGCTTTCGTCATCCTGCACAATGTGCTGCTGGCCGTCTACTCCGCCCTGACCTTCGTCGCCATGCTACGCGCCCTGCGCCATTCGTGGCCGTCGCATCGCGAGTACGAGTTCCTGGGGAAGATGTGGCCGGGGCTACGGACGGAGAACGGGATTGCAGGCGCGGCGGACGCGTTGTGCAAGATCCACGGGCCGCGCGGGTTCGGGGATGCGGTCTACTACAACGTGACGGGCGGGATCTGGCAGTCGAAGAACGCGGCGGTCCAGTTGGCGCAGGATGTGGTGGCGCCGGGGGTGGTGTCGCCGGATTCGCGTGATGTCGGGCGGCTGTGGAATGAGGGGTTGGCGTTTTGGGGGTGGTGGTTCTATCTCAGCAAGTTCTATGAGGTGGTGGATACGGCGATCATTTTGGCGAAGGGGAAGCGGAGCAGCACGTTGCAGACGTATCATCATGCCGGGGCCATGTTCTGCATGTGGGCGGGCATTAGGTACATGGGGCCGCCGATTTGGATCTTTGCATTCATCAACTCCGGCATCCATGCGCTTATGGTCAGTTTCGGTGTTCAATCATAATGGCACATCTGCTAACAGTGTTCAGTACACTTACTACACCCTGTCTGCCCTGCGGATCCCCGTGAAGCAGGTCATCAAGCGTACCCTGACCACCTTGCAAATCACGCAGTTCCTGGTCGGATTCACCTTCGCCGCACTGCATCTCTTCGTCAAGTATACGGTCCCGGTCTCCACACCTATCCAAGTGGCCGTCAATGCCGCGTCGTCACTCTCGTCCGCTGCCACGGCCGCCCCCAGCTCTGTCTCCTCCGCCTTTTCGGCAGCGGCCTCGGCAGCGACGTCGGGGATCAAATGGCTCCCGTTCCTGCACGCCGGGATCCTCCGCGCGTTCGGCGAAGAAGGCCTCGCCAACAACGCGCTCCGATCGGGCGATGTCCTTCCCTCCATGCCTGAAGTGCCCGCGCATGAGGCGTCGCAGAAAATCTTGAACGCGCCGACGAAGCTGAAGGAGCGATTCCAGACGCAATACGAGACGGTGTACCAGGAAGTCGACTGCATCGACACGGCGGGACAGAGTTTTGCGGTGTGGTTGAACCTGATCTACCTGGCACCGCTGACGGTGCTGTTCGTGCGGTTCTTCATCCGAAGTTACAGCCGGCGCTATGCGGCCGCGAAGCAGCTGCACGAGAAGCAGAGTATCGGGAGTCATCGAAGGAGGTTATCAAGGTCCGTTGAAGAGGCGGCTGGAGCTGTCGATCGGGAACTGAACAGATTAGGTGAAAGCGCCGAGGAAGGCGTGGTGGAGGCGGCGGAGCGGGTGGCGCGGTCGGCGAGCCCCAGTGCGGTGCGGGAGCAGGGGAGACACGTGAAAAAGGAGGCGAAGCAGACCGGAGGTAAGGTGGTGGACGCGACGAAAGAGAAGGGAAGTCAAGTCGCCGAGAAGCTGCACGAAGGCGGCCAGCACGCCGCGGAGAAAGTCCAGGATGCCCTCCCCCACGTCACGCAAATCGCCCACGAAATCCTCACCGCCGCCAAAGGCAGTCTCACCGACGCTGTCGACTCCACTACCTCCACCGTCCAAGAAACCCTCACCCACACCCCCCACGACGACGACGCCCCCATCTCCCGCTCCTCCTACCTCGCCCCCGGCGACTCCGCCTATGGCACCTTCGGCGCGTCCGAGATCCGCGAAAGCAAACAATCCCCGCCTGCCCACATCTTCGTCTCCGACAACCCATCGTACGCGGAGGTCGCTAGCGAGAATCCGTCCACAAGCAACTTATCGTACGCGGAGGTCGTTAGCGAAAATCCTCCCGAGAGCAATGTAAGCAGGAGCGAATAAATACACAGTCGTTGTTTCGACATCGGTACCCGCTTGGCCCCTTTTCGATTAGGGACTGACAAGTGTAGGCACCGGAGAAGACGACAGCGGAGACGAAGTCAGCCACGAAGTCGGATGCAAAACCGGACGCAAAGTCGGCGCCGGCAGCGGCGCGGCGGTCCCACGCCTCCAACAGCCCGCACGCGAAGCGCTACATGAACCGTCGACAAAACAGCAACGCCAGCGGCATCTCGATCGGCACAGGCGCAAGCTTCGACGCGAGCTACGACGGAAACATGCGCGCCGTCGACGACCGGGCGAGTCGCGAGAAGAGCCGCACGCGGATCCCCAGCCCGACGAAGAAGCCGACGTTAGCGAAGGCGCGGCCGCGGACGCCGAGTCCGCGGAAGAGCGAGGAGACGGCGGTGTTGGAGCGGACGCCGAGTGTGAGTACGAAGTCAGTGTCGACGTCGGGGAGTGGGGGTGGGAGTCCGGAGAGCGGGAGGATAGGGAGGCGGAGGAGTTTGAAGGAGTGGATGAAGAAGGAGGTGAGGAGGGCGAGTGGCGGGGCCGGGGAGTAGGGTGCCTTCGTGGGGTTGGACGACGTTACGGATGATGCACTGCGCTTTACTTGACTTCCCTTGATGGTGGGTTTGAACATCGGACGAGCGGTATACCCATGCTATAGATCACGGGATATCGATCAGTGGAATGAATACACTGACTGCATCGCGACATTAGAAGTATTCTCAATGATGTAGAAATTCACGCATTCCTACAGTTCGGGTGGTTCGTCTTCCATGCTCTGAGCTGTACATATAGATTCGTCAAAACGCGCACTGTGACCAGGGACAATGATACCTTACCTCACGGTTTTGGTCTCTCGAGTCTCTCTTAGAAAATACATATTTGATGCACGGCATGGTAGCTCCTTGCGTTCTGGAGCCTCGAAAATATCTCTTAAGCCCTCCATTGCGGAGGAATCAACAAATCGGAGCAAAGTCCTGAATACGAGCATAATCGGGCCATCCTCGTATTCAAGCGCGATGCCGAGACCTCATTAACGCGCATCGCCACTTCATAAAAGGCCAATTGACCTCCTAATACTTCCCATAGAGTATTCTGTCCCTCCAAAGTCCAATATAATTTCCTAGCTCCATCCCCCACCACCACCATGCCCTCCCCCTTCCTCTACCTCACTCTCACCACCCTCCCCCTCGCCACCACCGCCCTCTACCTCCACCATCTCCACTCCTCCCTCACCAAAAATGTCCACTGCCACACCACCCCACACCTCCAATCCCCCTCCCTCTCCCTCCCCGCCTCCATCCCTCGCGACGGCTCCACCCACCTCATCATGCACGAGCGCGCCACCAAAGTCGTCCCCACCCCTGCCCTCCCACGCTACCCTGACCCGCGCGCCATCCTGACCACCTACCTCCGCCACAACATGGTCGCCTTCTCGCGATACCCGCCGGCGTGGATGCTGTATTTCGCGATCAGCGACGTCGGCGTGCGGAAGACCTTCAGCGCGCCGTACCTCACCTCGCTCAACTACGAGATCGGCGATCTGGTGAACGGCGTGTACCGCGTCATCACGCGCACGGACAGCAAAGTCGAGATGCTGTTCGATCCGCCGCGGAGTTATCGGGGGCCGGCGGTAACGGGATTGTTGGCGGTGGAGATCCGGGAGGAGGGGGAGCAGACGGTGTTTGTGAATGATACGGTGATGTGGAGGGAGAAGGGGGGGAAAGCGGTGGTGTTGGAGGGGAAGGTGGGGAGGTGGACGCATGAGATTATTGCGGCGGGGTTGGTAGAAGGGGGGACGAAGTGGTTGATGGAAGAGGGGACGAGGTGATGTATTGAAGAGGAGGGGACAGGTCGTGAAAGACGGATCCTCGGGATGTAGAAATGCGCATAGAATTGGCCACAGAGCATACCTAATTAACCATCTCCCCTCATTCATCCTTGTTACTTCGTCCCGCTCATTCCGCTTCAGAAAAGATATCCTCCAACCCCTCCCATTTCCCCGTCTCCCGCATCTTCCAATACTCCCCGTTAAACACCCAATACGTCTCCCCCGTCTCCTCCGACCGCCCCTTCCGAAACCACCGGGGGACGAACTCCTCCCCCGCCTCGTCCCGCTCCCGTCGCTTCGCCCGTTGCTTCTCCTCCAGCCGATTCTTCTCCGTCGCCGCGAAGTCGTACTCCCCATCCTCCATCGCCCGCTGGTCCGGTCGCAGCCGCGTGTCCGTCGGCGCGAGGTGCGGGCGCAGCGCGTCGGGGAGGGCGTTCAGCGTCACCACGAACGGCGTCAGGTTGAACGGGATGTCGGTGGGCCTCCCGTGGCATTGCCAGACCAGGAACGCCTGCGACGGGGAACGCGACGCCGCGCTCTCAAGGCGTCGCTCCACCTCGCCCACCGGCAGCGATGCGTCATCGTCGTTGCTCGATGCGACCTTGGCGTAGATCTTATCGTTCCAGCGGCCTGCGATCGTCCAGCGCGGTTTTCCGTCGGCGTCGAGCACCTTCCCGCCGACTTGATGGGCTGACGAGGCTTTCCAGCCGCGGGCCTTGAAGTCGAGGTTGCAGACTTCGCCGGTGGTCCAGTTGCGGACGTGCATGGGGCCGTAGTTGTCGACGTTGGGGTTACCAGTGATAATACCGATAACGGAGGAGGTGACTTTCTTCCAAGTGTAGAGTTCCGGGGGGGCGTTGCGGGGGCGGAGGCGGAGGAACCAGGTGCCGAGGGGGTTGACATCGAAGGATTTGCCGTAGAATTTGGACTTGACGGCGGATTCGCCCTGGTGGGTTGTGAGTTTCGTAGCAAGCGAATACAATAGTGGTGACTTACCCAATAATCCCATTTCGGTGACTCGGCGTATGCGGCGCCAATCGGAGGATGATGACTGACTTGCTCGATGAAGAACCGGTAGCCTTTATCCGGACGAGCATATTCAAAAGTCTCACCAAGGAGAGGATTGAAAGGCTTCGCGACACGCCCGATCGTGGAAGCGTACTCACTCGCAGCGAATGCAGCGACGTACACCATCCGTTCGGTCGGGTCGGCGCAATCGGCAGCAATATCCAACAAGTCGGTGTACTCCATATCCTCCGCCACGCGCTGAAGGAGAGAGGTCGGCTCGTTAAACGAGACCGGCAGTGTCATTTTCGTCATATCTTTTCCAATCATAGATTTGAGAATGCCCTGTATTCCAGAGGTCAGCTTGAATCTCCCAAGAAAGGTCCACACGTACCCAAAGCGATATCTTCGGCCGATCATCCGCATCCATCGCCAACCGCTCCCGAACCGGATCCTCATACCCCTTAAACGACGCCAACAGCTCCCCCGTCGTCCGCTCATACGACACCTCCGGCGTCTTCGGCAGCTCCATCTGTTTCTGCTGCGGGCTCATCGGCAGCTCCACCACCTGCATCTCCCCGGCGCCAATCGCGTCGAAGAACTCCTCCTCGTCGTCCGACTCGCTCTCCGACAACACCGTCATATCCGCCAATGTCGACTTCCGACGCGGTTCGGCCAGCATCGCTGCTTTCAACGCCGACCCATTCGCCTCCGTCTTCGGGATCTCCGTCGTATCGAAGAACTCGGTCGATCGGCGTTGAGGGCTGTGCGGGATACTATCCGCGACGGACAATCCCTCCAACGCATCGCGAAGCGCACGTTTGGTGCGCTTGCGCTTGTCTTCGGATACGCCGATCATGCTTTCGAGCGCTTCTTGCTCCTTTGCGACGCGCGTCATGCTTTCTTCCCACATGCGGCGCACGTTGCCTTCTTGTTCCAGACGGTACTGCCAGTAGGATTCGCGGTCTCTGCCGATGCGGAGGAGGTCCCCGATGAGGCTCTTGAGGTTCCCGACGGCGGCTTCGTAGGAAGCGAGGCCTTGGCCCACCACTGGATCGGAGAGCTGCGTCCAAGGGTTGTTATTTCGCTCGTTCTGGAGCGCGGTGGATACTTGGGCAAGCAAATCCAAATGAAGTTTGGCGGACTGTGCGGTTATGTTGAAGGCGTCCCGGTTATGGAGTTGCAGTTCGTTGCTGCTAGCATCGTCGCCATAGTCCTCGTCGTCGTCGTCCCGGTCGTCCTCGAGGCGGACGACGGGTAGACTCGACTTTCCATTCTCTCTTCCGGCCATGCTAGGCTCGTTCACTGAGCCAGTTGCATCTTCTTCTTCACCTGCGGTGCTTGTTCGACCTATAACCTGTTAGAGGTTGCAATGAGCGCCACACATTCAGCAAAACTCACTACTAGGGCCTGGAAGACCTAAATTGCTGGTGGACGGTCCTCTGGTGCCAGCTCGCGAGCTCTGCACACTGGCAATATCAATTTCCCTACTTGGTCGAGGCAACGGGTGCCTTATCGACTCTGGTTCCTTTAGACGCTTCGCCTCTTCTCGTGCCTCGTCCTTTGACCATTGGATCGCGTTATTCAGCGCCCAATACCACCGCTTGGCCTCCACCTGGTGGTTTGCTCGAAGGTGATACTTGACCGATGACTTGCCGTGGATTTCGAACCGCAGCTTGTCCTGCGGGTCCATATGCAGCTTTGCAATTCGCATGTTGATCGCGCCACGGCATGCGGAGCCGGTGTCATCTTGGTGCTTGTAGTAGCTCAGCACTCCATCTTCGAGGACAAACCATCTCAGCTTCCAGCCAGAAGTGTAATTCGTCCACTTCTTCAGATAGCCCTTCATCTCACGTGCTTCTTTGCTTCCTAGTACCGTCTCTGGTGACGGTCCACCAGGTCCTAGGCCAGCCGTCCCCCCAAGAATGGTCCTCTCTTGAATCCCTCGCTGTGCAGCAGCGGCAGCAGGAGACTTCTTGATGATGCTTTTCGTCCTGTCGTCGTTCGTGACACCCTGCGGTAGCTTGCCTTTCCGATCCCTTCGGAACGGATCAGCCCCGTTAAGCAACAGGATCTGTATCAGTTTGATATCCTTCTTCCGCGCCGCTTCATGGAGCAACGTCCCGCCCGTTTCCACCGTTGTCGGGTCCTTCGCTAGCTCCTCGCTATTGACATCTAGCGTGGCTTTGATCCTCGGCTCCGCCAACATCGCTTCGATCCCCTGATAATCACCCGCGGCTACCAACTCCTTCAGCCTCTTTGACGCGGCGTCGATGAACAACGATCGGAACAGCTGTAGTTGCTGGAAGATCTCCGGGCTGCGGGCGAGGTCAAGCGGAGCCTGCCCGCTGTGGTTCAGCATCGAATCGTTGACATCGCCCCGCTCGAGGAGCAGATTGACGACTGCAGCGCGGCCCAGCGTCGCGGCGATATGCAACGGCGTGTTTCCATCGTGGTCTCGCGCGTTCACGTCCAACTTGCTCTCGGTGTCGGGTCCGACGTAGTTCTGTAGTAGGAACTCGATGACTTGTACCTCCGCGCATTGTATCGCCAGATGAAGAATCGATGCCACCTCCACCTTCGCGCCGCCTTTGCTCTCGTCCTTCTCGGCGGCGGAATGTTCCTTGATCGCCTTCACAATCGCGTCCGTTTCCCCGCTTCTCAGCGCCTCGAAGACGCGGAAAAGCCGCACGGACTGCTCGATCGAGGCACCAGACGGCTGCGGGGATGTCTGAGGAGCGTGGGAAGACGGCGGTACGTTCGACATCGCGGGTGCTTGCTGGCGAGAGGTGTGTCGAGAGAGATCGCGGTGGTCGGGGGTGCCGGGTGAATTGACCGAGGTGTTGGAGGGAGTCGCGGAGAGAGATGAGTTCGTCTCCGAGTCGAGCTTCGTGACATCCTGCCTGCTGGAGACTCGCTGCAAGAGCGATTTCGCAATGGCGGATTTCGAGCGCTTATGGCCCTCCATTTGGTGACGTCTGGGGTCGGTATTAGGGTCCGTAGCGGGCACACGATTCTATTACGGCGTATACCCAAATGATAGATCTCACGGCCCAAGAATTGGACCGCTTGCGCCGCTCTGGGGGGTGACAAATAATTATATCGGGAAGAATGATGGAGAAAGTTGAATAACGGACGGTATTCAGTACATTACTTATCACCAGGTGAGGAGAGGAGGTGGAGAAAGTTCCTATTCCGTCATAGGTGTCGTGCAATTACAAGGACAGGGGATACACCAGGAATAGCATTATTAAAGGTGTTCCATCATGGTGGCCAGAGCAACAGCTGAGCTTAACGGCGGTGAGATATCGATAGGTTGGAAGGGTTAGGTAATATTGCATACGGCTACTACATTATTAATACGGAGTATGGTGCTTTTATCCTATCAGCCGCCCAATGGCTTTCGGTTGAATGGGCATACATATAACAATGGATCGTTGGACCTACATTACCGGTATATTCGCGTCCATGGCCCCTCCAAGGAAAACCGGTAAGATATGTGAGCGTCTCGCTTCATTTGGTCTATCTATAATACATGTAGTCCTAACATTCCATCAATGATTAAGGTCCGTATATCTGCCGCAGCTATCCGAAACCCCTCTAGCTCCCCTTGCTCCCATTCACAAGCAATATAACACTCCCCAACTGCCTCCTTAAGTCCTCCTTCTCCACATCATGCGTATCCTCCACCTCCCCCCAATTATCCGTCTGCCACTTCACCTCCACACTCGCCGCCTCCGCCGCCTCCTCGATCCCAAACCTCTCCCTTCCCGCCTTCCCTTTCGCCAGCCCCAGTTCCTGGCTCCACTCCGCCACCAGCCGCGCGGCGACCAGCAGGCTCTTACTCGCGAGGATCCCTCGCTCGAGACCCGCGAGCTCAAACGCAGGCAGTCCAGACACCCATCCGCGGATCACCTCCGTGGTTAGTGTCGGCTGGGGTATAGGGAGGATGGAGTCGGGCTCCAAGGTGGGTTTCAGCTCGATGCCAGGCCAGACCGTCGCAGTGAGATATCCGACGATCGGCTCCGCGATCTGTCGCTGCATACTCCGTAGTGAGCGGGGTTTTTCATCCGCGTTTTCTGGCTCGTGGATGCTGCGTTCGGGCGCCCAGCAGAGGAGCGTGTCGGTGCTGAGATAGCCCAGCGCCATTTTCACGATGTCGTTGCGGAGCTTCGGGAGGTTCTGCGCATCGGCCTCTTGTATGTCGACGGCGCGGGAGAAGAGCGATGTCAAGGGGATGTAGTGGTGCTTGAGCGCCTGCTGCGCGCTGACCAATTGATCCCATTCGAGCGCAATCGCAGTCGCGAGTTGTGGTTTCGAATGCGGGACGACGACGACGCGTGTCTTTGCGGTTCGGACCGGGCGGTGGTCCAGCATTACCTGTAGACCCTCTGGAAAATTTATCAGCCTCTGTAATCTTAAATAAAAACCTGAGTTTATCCATACCATTTGTCTCCTTCACTGACACCGTCTTCCAAAACCGCTTCTGCAGCGCCGTCCCCGGCTTCGCAGGGTTGACTCGCGCCTCCCGGCCCCTCTCCAACAACTCCGCCCGCTTCCTCTTCGCATCCAACCGTTCTTCAGCCGGGGTTCGGGTCGCCTGCGGTGCTTCGGGGGGTGGGACGGGCGCGACGAGGTGCGAGATGGGCGTGGCGGACCATCTGTCCGAGCTATGGAGACATCGCCATTGTTGGATTTGGGCGAGTCGCGAGAGACTTCCGCTTCGGTGGGTGATGGAGCGGACGGGATTCATTACGGAGGAATTGGGTGGATGAGGTGGGTGAGAGGATGGAGAATGGGGGATAAAGTTGAAGAAGTCCTGGAGTTCAGATCTTTTGACGGCCATCGGAGTTTAATATCTCAAGCTCCGACATCGAATATCGCTTGGACGATTTACATCCCAAACTCTCCCAACAATCAATTCAAAGCCATAATATTCAAGGCGGGTGAACCTATTAGCTGGTATCTATGAAACCCTTCTTCTGGACCTTTCAGAGAAGTATTAATTCGCATATTCCGCTCGTGCTGCACACACATTATCTACCCACCCTGCACCCGGACCAACACCTCGCTATATACCTTCCCTAGGTCCAGACCAGCCGCTTCAAGTTATATGTCATCTGTTCAAGCAATCCCGTGCTCTTCTTCGCCTCTGCAACAGAGATAATGTCGTCCTCCTCCACCGTGAGCGGCTCCCTCCGCCATGCTTCCTTTCCAGGCTCCGCTTCTGTCTCGGATGCGGGCTGGCGATGAGAGTCGACCGCCTGCTTCACATCCTGACATATGCGGTCGAGAATCTCCCGCTCATTCAGCGCGGTGGCGTCGCTATGTATGCTCTTCAAAGTCGAGACCGGCTGACCGGCTTTCAGTGCCCAGAACTTGGTCTCCTGAGACGTCGGCTGGTGCACAACCGTATCGTCCTCCCCTTCCTCAGGAGTCACCTCTCCTTCTTTCTGCTTGTTTCCCAGGCTCCTGGTATTCGTCCGCACCATTCGTGGCCCTTTGCTGACGTATCGGATGACGATTCCGATGTTTTTTGTCTCGTCTAAATGCTTGGGCGCCAACGTAGACGTGATGTACACTCCGCGGGTGATGTCAATGACGTCCTCCAGCTCGACGCGCTCGAATTCCCGCAGCTTCTCCGTGTTCCAGTCGAATCGACACAGGTACAGCGCGCTTCCCGTCAAAAGCAGCACGCATTCTTCGAACGGGAGCGACTTGAGAGTGGATGGCCTCCGTGGCGACGTCAGCGCGTAGCCAGCGATGAACTCCTCCCGCGCATCTTCGACGGCGATCTGGAGGCAGTTGTCGATGGCGCCTTGTCGCATTTTTTTCAAATCCACCGCGTAGTCTTGGGACATCATCTCGGCCTCGAAGTCCACGAAGACCTGGGCGGACGCGCGGCCGAGAAGGTAATCAATGACGGCCTGCGCGAGGTAGTCGTTGACGATGTTGTTGTAATACCGATTCAAGGTAAGCCGGAAGTCATTCAGAGCGCCGCTGATATTCCGCTTTCTTGTTCGCGTGTAGTCACCCTTGAGAGCGGCGGTGCCTGCATACTGTGCAGATATGGCGTCTCCGTTGTCGGCCCAAAGGGTGTTAAACCATGATGTGCTGGGATCAGTGTGAAGGTTGATCAAGACATTACATGTAGCGAGCTGTTTTTCCAGGACATCTCGACCACAGGCGGATTGCACGACGTTCGTGCGGTCGAGGCAGTCCATGCAGTTTGTTCGGAGGACGCCTGACTGTCGTTGTATGAGGCGGTCCCCTTCTTGGATGGACCAGGCTGTGGATTCCAGGAACGGAGAAATGCTGTCGAGCAAGACCGAGACGTTCTCGAACTTCATCCCTCGACAGGCATGATGGAAGTCAAACCATAGAAAACCCAGCTTTCCCTCTCCTAGCACTCCACTATCGATGACCTCGTTCGCGTAATCTTCAAACTCCTGCCCAATCTTTCGCTCCGTCGCCTTCTTATCCACCAACGAAACCGCCTGAATCCTACCGTACCGCTCAATCAACGACGAGAAATGCAGCCGGAACGCCGCGCGGTTCGTCTCCGGCGACCCGAAGAAGGCGGGGATCGGCTTGAAGCTGTACGGTGTTTGCGAGAAGAAGAGCGGGATGCTTCCGCGGCACTGGACGAAGGAATGGATCTTCGTGTCGTGGTCGTCCCAGTCGCAGGAGGAGAAGATCTGCTCGGTCTCGACGCTGTTTGCGGTGTTTCCGTCCTCGTCGACGCCGCGGCGCAGATATCGCAGGCCGGATCGTTTGACGGATCGACGGGAGACTAAGGTTAAGAGATACTGCTTACGGCTTGGCTGGGGGTCGCCTGGAGATTCGGCGCTCTCTATTGTCCCTTCATCTTCCCCTTCCGGTTTGGATGCACTGACAATCGCCCCCTCCTTGCTGGTCGGCGATACTTCCACCTCGAACTCGCGCTGCCCAACGAATCCTTGTAGAAGAGGGAGGACGAAGCTATGCTGTCCGGCTTCCATAAAAGGATCCGTAATATGACGGTTCCAGAAATACTGCCTGAGTTAGATCCAGTGCATGATAAAGATGACGAGCACTTACCAATGAATTGAATCTTCGACTTAACGGCACCGAATCCGGTTCTGTATCTTGCTCCGTAACCGTTCTTGACAAGTCGTAGTCATACGAGAAGTAGAAACTCCTCGACGTGAACAGCAATTTCGCAACCTTCAAAACCTTTGGCAGCAACGGCTCGTCTATGTCTTCGTCCCCCGTCACCGCCTCGGGAGTCTCGGGTCGATTTACCTCCTCCGCAGCCGTCTCGTCCAGCGGTGTCTCCAAGCCCCGCTCACCAGCTTCATCCCTCGCCTCCCTCTTCCTCAACTCCTCCAACTCCATCTCGTCCCTTGTCTCCGGCGCAACCTCCGGCTCCACCCGCCACCTCCTCGAAAACCACCGCTCCGCAAACCGCCCATACATCCCCCTCCGCCCAAACACATCCTCCACCACCTCACTCGCACCCCCTTTCCCCTCCCGCAGCCCCTCCCGCTCCGGCGTCGGCATCGACTCCTCGCTCAGAATCGTCTCCGTCTCCGACGCCGTATCTTCTCCATCCTCATCTGTACCTGTATGCTGCTGCGTCGCGCGGATGTGTGCGATCGCTGTTTCTGCGTCGTGTTGGGAGGAGAGGGGGATCACGGCGACGTCGGTGAGGGTGAAGATGGGGGTTCCGTGGATTTGGGCGACTTGGTCGCGGGCGGAGATCAGGACGAGGAAGGAAGAGCTGGCGAACTTGAGCAGGCCTGGGGTACAGAGTCAGCGTATTCAATCTTTTTGGGGGGATTTGTCCCGCTTGACGTACCAACCACCCCATGCGCTTCAAACGACGACGACAGCTTCGCCTCCTCGCGCCGCTCATGCTGTAGCGGCTGGATCACATTCGTCCGGTAACCGACAGTGATGGCAGGCTCGGTGGCGGGCTTCTGGTTCCTCGGCGGGATGGGTTGGAGGACCAGGCCGTCGATGGCGGCGAGGACCAGCATCCGGCGCACTATGCCCGGCATTTTGGCGATGTAATGGCGTCCGGGGCCATTGCGCGTGGAATGCCGGAGTTGGGATGGGAGAGATGCGGTGGGAGGTGGAGGGTGGGTGAGGGACATGGATCACCCCACATACGTCACATAATAGAGAGAGAGGCATGGGCGTTTGGCGAGAGTGGAACAACGTCGGAGAAAATTATACTCACGGCAGGTATTGCTACGGGATCATATATGAAAGTGGTAGTGCCACCATAAGCCTTATAATTCAAGTTATTATACAGAGATCGTGGGAATCATAGATTTTATCCAAATCACGACGGGACGGCCTCTCCAACCACGCCGGAGAACCTAGATGCTTTTTCCACCATCAATCACCAGCGAGTCACCCGTGACGAACTTGCTATCATCGCTCGCGAAGAACAAAGCCCCTTTCGCGATGTCCAAAGGATCGGTAAGCCTCCCCATCGGCACCTGCCCTGTGAACTTCTCCCGATTCTCCGGCGTGTCGGGGACGCCGACGAAGCTCTCGAAGAGGCCGGTCCCGGAGAGCAGGGGGCGGATATCGTTCACACGAATTTGATCAGCGCCAAACTCAGACGCAAGACCGTTGGTAGCCTAGATAGAGATATCAGCGGGGGTTTCGGGTAGGTGTGAGGAAGGGAACGACGTACGTTGGAGACGGCGCCTTTCGTGGCGTTGTAGTAGACAAGACCGGGACGTGGGCGGGCGGCACCAATGCTGGAGATGTTGATGATGCTTCCGCCGCGGCCTTGTTTCTTGAATTGTGGGACGACGGTTTTGACGGACCAGAAGATGCTCTTTACGTTAACCTTGAAGACGAGGTCGAATTCCGCTTCGGTGACGTCTAGCGTGGGCTGGTCTCCTGTCAGTAACAAGGAGATATTGTGGGCGTGTTTAACGATGTACCTTGTTCCTATAGCTTGTCCCGGCATTGTTGACCAGAATATCAATTCCCCCCCAATTGTCTAGGCAAGCCTTCACAGCTCTGGTCCACGCCTCTTCCTTCGTGACGTCCATGTGGCAGACCTGGACCTGCTTAGATTCTGCATACGGCTTGGCAACGGTATGTGCCAGCTCTTCGTTCAAATCGCAAAGGAGGACATTGCAGCCTTCTTGGGCGAACAATGTTGTGATGGCGGCTCCGAATCCGCTTGCGCCTCTGTCAACCGGTTAGAAACAAGTCCGGCATATTCGAAAGATCTCAGGAATCCAAACCCTGTGACAATCGCGACCTTCCCGGCCAATCTTCCGTTCCCAGACATTGTGGTGGCGGCTATAAAATTCGGATACAAGTACGTATGGATTTAAGCTCCAGGGATTCAATACACACAGCTGCAGGCGCTTTACGAGAAACGAATAAGGTATCTTCGAAGACAACAGCTTTCTGACTCCGAAAATCGGAAGAAAAGGCAGAAAATCCCCATCCCCATCCTGTGACTTGATTTGCGGGGTTTGCGGAGAGACTAGCAGTGAGAACCGACCAAGTGGGGCAGCTTGGAGGCAAGAGCAAGGAAATCGACAGGATTGTAGAAGTAGAAAGAACTGAAGGGGTCCATTGGGCAGAATCAATTCAATCAGATCGATGTATCGGAATCACTCAACGCCTCCCAGATTCGATCGCGATGAAGCCGACGATGGTGTCGCTGCCAGCAACGACTGCACCGATCGCGTTGGACACTTTACGGCTGGCGGACGTACACCAGGAGAAGCCTCAGCGTAGAGAGCGTACACCTCAATAAAGCCACATGATCATCTTCGAGCACTTTATAGAGTTGTCAGACAGCAGACTTGTCCCATAATAGTCAATCCTCAATATGGGTGGGGGTGGAAGTAAAGACAGAACACGCGACAAAATTCCATCGAACGCGTCAACGCCAACTGGACATGAGTCGGTTGGCGGAAGTAGCGGGGAGAAGCATGATTCATGAATGACTGCTGACCTCACCGCTAAATCCTCCAGTGTCCATATTGCAGCCTGTATTACAATGTACAGGTACAGCGGGGGACTGGATTCGTGAATGGGTTAGATGAGAATAGATCTTTGGGAGAGGCATATAATTCGTGACCTACAGCAAGCACTATCCGGTATCCCCGCCTACTCGTGGCTCGCGTATAAGATGGACTCCGCAACCCCGAGCGGAGATGACGACGATTCATCACGCCGCGAAACGATCCGGTTAACCAACACTCCGGACCTGATCTTAGCCATCAGCCATGAAGAGATCTCCGAAGACGTCTTCCATTTCGAAGTCGACTCCAAGAAGCTTCGATCCAATTCCCCGTACTTTGAGAATCTCCTGCATCCGTCCAAGTTCAGCGAAGGACGCCGTTTGGCACACCATGGACGAGATGGCAGCGAGGGCGATGCGCTCCCGGTCATTGAGATTCATCATATTGGGAACGTCGAATTATCCAACCCCGCCAACCTTCCGCTACTCATCAAGGACTTCCTCTCCGTCATTCACGACGTTTCCCTAGACCAGTGGGCGTCCATGCCGCTCACCAATATGGCCAATCTGCTGGTCGTGGCCGACATGTTTGACGCTCTTCCTCCATTCCAAAGAAAGTCCCCGATCGGCCGAGTGCTCGATCGCGTGGTGACCAAGGCGCTTTCGAAAAACATCGCGCGGGCGACGGAATCGACGATACGCAAGATATTATTCGTGGGGCTCCTGGGCCAGCAGAGCCGATGCGTCATGGTGGCGAGTAAATGGTTGATTACCAGAGGTTCGGAATGTTGGAATGACGAGAACGAGGTCGTTGACGAGAATCGCGGACCGTGGTGGAGGCTTCCGGGGAGGATGGAAGGTAAGGAAACCCATTCGGAAGTAGGAATATGAAACCTCAAACTAACCATGCTCGTCGTACAGAAGAACTCATGTTCCGGAGGCAGATGGTCGCGGAGACGTTGGATTCCATCCCGGTCCATTTCATAAAACTCTATTCCTCCGGCGACCGACAATGCCGGCTCGGATACGATTCCTCGGCGCAGTGCGACAGCTATCAACTTGGCGAGATGGTCCGCTTCTTCGAACGCAGTCGCCTCGTCTCCATCACCGGCAGTCTGACGCCGACCCTCCCTTCAAAAGACTATCCCGTCAGCCGAGATATGAACATCGTCCTCGAAAACCTAAGGAAAGCACCCGAATACCAGATCAACCAGCACCATTCCCATTGCGGGCTGCGCACCCGTCTGTTGCCCCTCATCACCCGGATCCTGAGCCATGCCATTTCTATAGAATCTACGGGGGCGTCCTGTGGGATTTGTCTCGGTTGCTGGCTCACTAAGAGAGACGCATACGCCTGGACGGAGGCAAAACGTCCTGTTTCTTGGATTCCCTCGGGCGGCACAATGTCCTCGAGTAGAAAGTCATGCCTCGAGATAGATGAGCTGTTGCGCGACATGTTTTTGGCTGTGGACCGCGTCTGGACGGCGACCGAGTTGCCGAGTTCCAGTAATGGGCACAGTGCACTGCCATAGCCAGCTCAAGCCGACTTGGCCTCCAGATGTCATAGACCTCTTTAATAGAACAACCAACGATGTCCATCCAAATCGGTCGATTCCTGGGCGGTGGTCCAGGACTAGGCAATCAGGCTGGCTCGAAGCGTCCGGATAGACGAGGCTCACGTCACCGCCATCTTCCGCCGACTGTGGAAAGTGTCTTCGACAATGCCCGAATCATCCAGGTCATCCTCCTCCTCGACCAGAGACATGGTGTTGGTCTGTCCTGGAGTTGGAACCCGTCCACTCAAGATCTCAAACAGCGAGTCTTCCACCTCATCGCACTCCGGCGTCGCCGGACGCGGATCCTGTGCCTCAGCCGGAAAGTCCTCCTTCCCCTCCGGCCACACGAGCAGCGAATTCTGCGAGTCACCAACAAAGATCCCGGGGATCTTATCGGACCACTTCGGGAGCCATCGTGCATCCAGCTTCGATGGGCCCGACGACTTGGTGGCGAAGGCGCCTTTCGGCAGGGTGATGATCTGCGGTGGTGAAGCCCCGTCGTCGAGCGTCTCCCAGATATGCAGGACGGGCTCAGAATCCGCGGGGTTGCAGATGATCAAGAGCAGCCCGGCGCATGCGGGGTGCCATTGGATGCTCTTGATGCTGGAGTATTGGAGAAGCACAGCTTTCGGTGCCATCTTGGTGAGATCCCAGAGCCAGACCGTCGTGGGATGCGCGTCGTCTCTCGTGGCCAGCATGGAGCCGTCGGGACTGAATGCCATGATCGAGATCCCTAGCTTTGGTGGGAATTCCGTCGCTGAGCTCGGGATGGATGGCGGGGAGATCGGCTGCGCTGCGGGTGTGTAGGTCCTGCTTGTAGCGCTTACCTGCTCCTGCCACACTGCACCGGAAACCAATTGGATAGATGCGGTATGGTCCAGATAGACAATCGGAGAGAAAGTTCGCGTGCTGAGGAGCGTAACCCGCTTATCGAAGCTCCCGATGGCCAAATAATCCCCGCGCGGGCTCCACTCCACGCTCTTGATCCCCAACCCGAGACTCCCATCGCCGCCGTCCCCAGCATACGTCCGATAGAGGTTCCCGTCCAGCGTATAGATATACACCTTAAACCCCGCGCTCGCCGCATCCCACACAACCCACCACCGCCCATCCAGACTCCACTTCACCCCCTGCGCATCCACCGTCGGCACCACCACCGTCCTCAACACCACCCACGATCCCCCCGCATGCATCGTCACCACGTCCTGCGGCCCGGGCCTCGACAACAATGCACACACTCCGCCCTTCCGAAACCCCCACCCCCGCGTCACGAACTTCGGGTCCCGGATCTCCACGCGCCGCCCACTGCTCAGATCCCACACCACCATCCGCGACCCGAAATCCGAGACTACGATGACCGCGTCCGGCCCGTTCGTGAACTCCGCGTGCAAGATCTTCCCCATACCGCCATTACCGTTGTGGATGGTGGCGGACCAGCGGGGGTGGTGGAGGTCCCAAACGCGGACTGAGGAGTCGGAGGAGATGAGGAGGCGGGTGGAGGAGGTGGAGGAGGTGGTTAGGGGGGCCCATTGGGGGGAGCGGGGGGAGGAGTCAGTTTGGATTGGGATGGTGCGGAGGATGGTGGAGGAGGTGACGGAGCGGAGTTGGAGGCGGGTGGGGGTGACGGTAGCAATGTGGAGACCGTCGGGGGAGAGGGAGGAGTGGTAGGTTGCTGGGGGGTTAGTGGTTGGGACTGGATATAGGGATTGGAGATACTTACATTTTATCAATGGGGAGCTATGGAGTCCCATGGTTGTTGAAAGGACGATGTCGAGTTATTGGAGCATCTCGCGATCCTTCTGTGCGGTTGAAAGTTTTGACGATGGGGTGTAAACAAACCGAACACAAAGTCGTCCAGTTGCTAAGGAACATTTCGGCAAGCCTCCGCCACAAGGCAGTAAGGCATGAAGGCAGCAATATGTTATGGCACCAAGGCATTCAAATGTGGGGGTTTGTGGTCCGTGTGTCCGGTAACCAGGCGGTGATCAGAGTCGGCGGTCAGGCGGTGGCGCGGTGCCGCGGTGGCGGTCCGCGGTCGGGACTAATCTTCCCATGAGCAAGTTCTCGGCGCGAACTTCCTCCGACTTCAGCTTCAACTACAGCTTCAACGACAGAGCTATTCGACTTTGTATGAGCAAGTTGCAGCCAAGTCGGTGAAATTTTAACATGCTGCTTGGTAATAGCTTGCAGAGTCGTTTGGTAGAGCTAGACAAAAATGGTAGGATTATCTCTTGCTTGAGTTGCTTAAGACATGTATAAAAAGGAGGTCAACGTTCGATGCAGTCAGTCAGATTCTTTAGAACCAGTTTCACCTTCCAGTCTTTTCGTATATCTATCCCCCGTGCTTTCGAAATCTTGAAGTAAGCATCAAATTCTTTCTACCACAGTCACGTTCAGCATCAAACGAGATGGTTCACGTGGCCCTTGCTGGAGCGACGCGCAATTTCGGCCTCACACTCGTGAAGACCATCGTCGAGACTGGAAAGCATGAAGTCACCGTCATCTCCCGGACACCACAGCCAGAGATTTCCGCACTGGGCGTCCACGTCCACGCAGTCAACTACGACGACCATGAAGCTCTCGTGAAGGCTCTGACCGGTGTCCATACCGTTATCAGGTGTGCTCCATCGCCCCACCGCACCTCTACGTACCTTGCTAATACTCGTTATCCTCAGCACCATCGCCGCCTCCGGCGACGTCTTCCGCACCTCCCAACTCGCCCTCCTCGCCGCCGCCCAAGCCGCCCACGTTACCCGCTTCGCCCCCTCGGAGTTCGCCATCTCCCAATACGAAGGCTTCGACCTCTACGCGCCGAAGATCCCCGTCTGGGATGCTGTGAAAGCCTCCGGGCTGGAGTATACGCGGTTCACGTGCGGGATTTTCATGAACGCCTTCGCGACGGGGACTCCGAAGGGGGAGGAAGTCGCGCTGGCGGGCTTGCGGGCGTGGAATTTCGTGGTGAATGTGCGGGCGGGGACAGCGGATATGCCGGGGCGGGGGGAGGAAAGGGTGACGTTTACGGAGATTGGAGATGTGTGTCGGTTTGTGGCGGGGGCGTTGGAGTTGGAGGGGTGGGAGGAGGAAATGGGGATGGTGGGGGAGACGACGACGTGGGGGGAGGTGGTGGGGAAGATTGAGAAGGTGACGGGGCGGAAGGTGTTGGTGAAGAGGAATTCGATTGGGGAGATGACGAAATTGGCGGAGGAGCCGGCGGTGAGGTTCTATAATCAGGTGCGCATTGGGATTGCCGAGGGGAAGTTCGAGGTGGAGCCAACGCTTAATAGGCTGGTTGACAGTGTTAGCCCGGTGTCGATTGAAGAATTTCTTGAGAAATGGTGGAGTGGAGTTGAATTGGGAGAGGCGAAATGGGGGGAAGACAAGATATTCGCCTTGGTGTAGACGAAGGAGCCGTCCCAGCCAAGCTCGGAATTGCCTAAGTCCTCTGTGGAAAAGTCATTCCTCGAATGGGTTCGACATTTTGATACACTTCCTCTTGACATTTTCAATCCTGTTACGTTCCACGTTCTCTATTTCCTCCAAGTTAACAAATAGCCATACCCTAGCCAAATGTCCACCCATTTCTACACAACACATTTCTTAGCTGCATACCTATCCTGTCTCACACATTTCGTCACTCTACAATTCTTCTCCTCATCCTCCACCTACCTCGGCTCCTCCGACCTCCACTCCACGGTTCCAAACCCTCCAGGATCGTCGAGAGGGAGTGCAGGCTCGGCAACTGGCACGACTCTCCGATGGGCCAGATTTCGCAACCCTAGGCCGCTTCGGCAACTGAGAATGTCATGCAGGGCTACCTGCATACGGTTCGCATGAGGGAGATTCTACAATTGGCGATCGTCGTTCCCGGATTCAAAAGTGGTTCGGCGAGCTTCTTGCTCTTCATTCTGGTCGGCTTGGGCGCCAAGAGGATGGCGATGCGGAGGCCGAGGTTTGTTGGGGAGGTAGGTTTCACTTGCCGGTATGCTTTTGAAGGAGTTGTGAGCTTCTATCTTAGCCAAGGGAACTTGGATGGCTAACTGCGAGTTGCTCGGTAGTTGCATGGTTATAGGGGACACGTTGCGGTATTACACAGGCACATTGTAGTGGGCGTACTGGTGGACAGTTCTCACAGCCCAAGTAACAGTCGAAACAGCTCTTGCTATACAATTTTCGTTCCCATCTCACCTACCTTCAGTCCCACTGACTCCTTCTCCACCACCCCAGGGCCCTCTCCTACGCAACCCCCTGGCTTGCCGTGAACGCCCTCAAGATATAGCACGCCGCTGCACGGGTATAGAACCCATCCGCGCTATACGCAAGATGCGCCGACCCGCCGCTCGCACGATGCCCTTTCTCAGCTGGTTCCGGCTGGCTGCAATCCGGCGCCGCCCTCGCCTCCAGATCCGACGTCGACCGCAGATCCAGCACCCCGTCGACGTACTCCGGATCACTCTGGAACAGGTCGACCAGCGCGTTGCGGCGCGTGTTGCAGCGGCCGGACGAACCGGTGCCGGAGGCGGAGCAGATCTGCGTACGTGTTAGCCACTGGAGAGGGTGCCTTGCGATAGTCGCTTGGATGAAGGGGGAGCAGGGGGAGCAGGGGGAGCGCGGATACGTACCGAGTCGCCCTCGTTGCAGTAGGACTTGCACTTCCCCTTCACGGACGTCGGGCAATTCGGGCTGCCGACCATCGTGATCGCGATGACGCGCTGCTGCACGGCGGCGGGGATCTGCGGGATCGCGCGGACGAGCACGACGCCCCCCTGCGAATGGCCGCCGAGAGCGAATTTCTGCTCCGGGCAGCGTTCCGCCTGCGTCGTCAATTGGGAGACCAGGTCCGCGATGCCCTTGTTCTCGGAGCTGCAGCCGCTGAAGCTAGCGGGGTAGTGCACGGGGTAGCCGGTAGCGTCGGGGATCAGGGAGGTGACGTTGGTGTAGATGGAGTAGCCGGCGGCGCCGTAACCTTTGGACCAGTAGCGGGCGGCGGCGGCTTCGAATTGGGCGGCGTTGGCGTTGTCAACGCCGGTGGGGGGCTCGGTGGTTGCGCGGGCTGGGAGGGTGTCAGTGGGATGGAGAGGGGGGTGGGGAGGGAGGATAGATACCCCAAACGAAGTGGAGAGGTGAGCAACCTCCCTGGGCGTAGGCTGCAGGGAGCATTGCGGCAAGAAGAGCAAGAGAGGACAACATTCTGAGAATTGGATATCAATCGTGGTCGTTCACCTTCAAGTGGCCATGAAAGTCGAACGTCCACTCAGACGCAACTCTCCGACTTCACCCTCCATCTTTATATGTTGCTAGTTGCAAATTTTCTCCTCGAAATAGCGTTGCTATACATGATATCACCCCAATTAGGCGGATATTCCTTGGGTCAATATCCCATCCATGGCATTGCGGGGTGCGTGCATCCAACTCTCTCAATCAGATGAACGTGTCGTCAAATCCACCAACGTGGAATTATATCTTTTATCATCTCCACATTGGGTTCGCTCCCAGGTTCGCTCTTTGAAACAGGGCAGGGTTGATTATCCAATCAGGTGCGCGTTTCAAGGCCCTTTACGAACGATCAATGTCGGATATATCCATGCCCTTAGGGTTTAGGATCTCGTTTAAGATCGGATATGTCGAGCATGCCTCGAAATGCATCGCGGTTCTCCACCTCGGTGGTTATCGTTGTCTGCTTTTGGTGTGGGGTCGAGGTCTACCAAGGAGAGGAAAGATGAGAGACATTCTAGATCAATATCAGGACATTGTGGTATCTGTATCAGATTCTCCGGCAATATCAGCAGAACTTAATCATTGAGTCGCACGATACTGATGTAGTACCACCCCAACACCGCCACATTGCCTGCATTATTGCCGTGCATCATGGTACGTTTTGTGGCTGGGACTTTAATCAGACAACTTGACAAAATGTTCCAGAATCGGAATATGGATATCCGGTGTTCAATCTTGATGAAAAACACTTATCCTCAGTTTCATATGGATAGTTGCTTCAAGTTTCCCAACGCTCCAATCAGTGTCACAGTCTCGGACTAGCAAAATCCCCCATTGGATTTCGAACTTCGCGTCCATTACGGAATACGAAAACACAAATGCTTCTCTAGCAAAGAGTGGTCGCTAACAAGTAACAAATGATGATTTGGTCAGATGCTTTTATTTTATCATCCGTTCCGTGATCTGGCAGCCAAGGCCACCACTATTTCCAATAACCACCGCATCTGCCGTGCTCACAAGCACGGTCAGGCCTAAGAAGCGAGAAGCTTAAGGAAATGTTGGACAACCGCCCCAAGGACAAACAGTAAGCCCTTAACAGCAACGCAGTTAGTCAAGACTCAAGACACGATCCTAGTAGACCAGCAGGTAACGATGCAGGATCTATACAGGATCTATACAGAATTATTCCGATTCACCAGAAGCTGTCGTTATCATCTAGACTTGTCGCAAGGGACGCACCACCCATTTCGGGCAGCCCCAACCACCTGTTTTGGGCACCCCGTACCACCACTTTTGGGCACTCTTTGTCGCCTATACGGCCCTCGACCACTTCTGCCCCGCCGGAACGAGTGGCTAACCTAAAATGGGGGATAGGGGTTGCCTAAAGCGGGTGGTCGTAGGTGTCCAAAATGGGTGGTCGGGTGCCGAAGACGGGTGGTAGGAAAGCCCAAGATGGGTGGAGAGGTGCCCGCGCCTTACGGACTCATCAAAAGGCACGGGGGGGACAAATCTCACCAGCCTTCAACCAATCAGAGCGCATCTTTTGGCTCAAAATCACGTGGGGGGGTGGATTGAGGTCACGTGGGGGGGTGGACCGATGCGCACCCTGATATTGTACGTGTCACGTGCAGAGGGGCTCGACGAACCCCATCGAAACTCAAGATTGCTTCATCACCATTGATATTCCCCACATGTGCCACGCAGAGAGGCCTGACGGGCATAGGAATAAACAATCATTCAATCATTATTGATATTACTAGTATCTAGTGATTTATCCTACACCATATTTACTTAAATTTTCTGATGCCTCCTATCCGTCAGACACGTCGAGTCGCGCAGAGACATAATTTATCGATTACTCAGCTAGCCACCATCGCTGTATGCCGCCACTTTGGCCAGACTTTCCCCCAGATATCGACCGAGCTCCGCATCCCAACTACGAGCGTATCTAGCGCTTATCAACGTGTGTATGGAAGAGCCAAAGACTTTGCGTGCTTGCGCGTTGGCGGAGGGGAAAATTTACCTCTAAATTGGCAGCCATCGCTTCTCGATTTCCAGCGAAGTCTCGATGCCTGCGCACAAGAAGAGGAGCATCGTGGGCGCCCGGCCACGGCAGGCATTGTCAAAGACGCGTTACGCGATACAGCGACACGGGACGAACAGGCACAAGATAAGCCTTGGACTCAAGTCGCGCGCGAAGTAAGCGAGAACCTTGGTATACCAGTGCCAAAAACTACAGCATATAGAATCCTTAAAGATGAGTTTATTCTCCGTCGACGCCGGCCTCCACGGAAGCTTGAGCTTACCCCCTGGCACAAAAACGACAGGAAAAGGCTTGCCAGTTGGGCGCTACCAAAGCTCGAAAATGAAGATATTTTTATCTTCACAGACGAGATGCTGGTAAATACAAACAATAGTCGGAAACCCCTCGCGGTTACACGCCCACGAGGCGCTAATCCATTCGATTTCTCACGATCCCCTCCAGACGTATTTCAAGCTATTATGTTTTGGGGAGCAATATGCTGGGGATTTGACTTAGAGGGCACGGGACCATGCCATGCGTGGGAAGCGGAGACACAGGAGGAACGAGAGACCATCGATCGCACGATCTCGGATGAGAACCAGGTCATGATCCACGAGATGGAGCATGACAGAGCCGAGGTACGGCGTCCTGGGACCCGCCAGTACCGTCATCTGCAGGAATTAAATGTAAATATACAGAGGTAAGGTCCAAGTCGCAGTCGTCATGTACTCGTTAAGGTCTTTCCTATTCTTCCCCAAGCTGTCTCTTTCAATCCGAGCTTATCTTCGTTACTTACCCTATTATCTGCTTATCTACTTACTTTATATATATAGGGAAAATCAGGAACACGGTACACGCCGTGCACGGCGTCGTCCGGAATGGGAATTCAAACAGGGGCTTGCTAAACGCGATAAAGGTAAAGGGGGGGTCGATTGGGCTCGATATCGAGAGATGATACTCCGTCCGCTATTATTTCCGTACGCAAGAACGATCCAGCGCGTTACAGGCAGGACTGTCTGGATTATTGAGGACAATGCTTCGCCCCATACAAAGGCACGAAAGTGGACAATCCAGGAACGACAAGAGCAGGGTATCAACGTCGTTAAATGGCCCCCTAGATCCCCGGATCTTAACCGTGTCGAGCGTATATGGGACTGGATGAAGCTGAAGCTTCCGTTTGAGGATCTACGGAATCCATCAGGCAATTTAGAGCGGAAGAATGCGGTAGATGCGTTGTATAAACTCTGGAGAGGATGTCCCAGGGAGAAGGTTGATAAGGAGGCTAACTTATTCCAGAAAGTCCTACTAAAGGTGCTTGAAAATGATGGAAATAATAACTTCTTTGCTTAATTAGCCTCTTACATATTCTAGACTTAAATTAATGCCTTTGCACTGCCTCTGTGTGGAGATGAAGGAGGGGGGACCTAATTAGGAAACTCACGTGATACACACAATTTTGGGAAGCTTGATTTATAATTGTTATGGTCCCACGGGTCCCAGGCCTGCGGCCTGTTCCCTTGGTTGTGGCTGAAGACGTGGCTGGTGGATTATATCAGAGAAGCAAACAAACATGGTAACACAGCATTAGGGCATTGGAGAGGAGAGTCGCTATCTCGCGCACAAAGGTGCCGGGAGATTTCTTCTCTCTCTCTCTCTCTCTCT